ATTTGGTCAGAAGAAAGCGTGTTTAAATAAAAATTAATTTTTCAAAAAGTTTACAGATCATAATAAAATAATAGTGTGCAGTCTTTTTAATACATCTGTGAGTATTTAAAACAACACGATATTATCTCTTTTTTTTAATATTTTTGGGATAACATATTCATATATGAAAACACTAAATAGTAAATACTGCTGGTTTTTTAATAAAACTTTAAGGAAGAAAGTTTTTTAAGTGGGCGCTATAACAGTTTCAGAATTTAAAAATAAAATTGCGAAAACTAGTATCGTAGGGATATCCCTCGCAAATCTCTCGCTCGAGGTGAACGCGTCCGAGCCGTATTTTAACTAGACCAGCTACATTGTTTCTCGGTTAAATTTACTTCATGACGGCTATTGTAAATCTTTCACTTACGTGAATACTTATTGTTTACACATTTGTCAGGGGAACTTTTGTTGTTTTCAAGCTTTTTTGTATATGTTTTTAGTCTTCACAAAAAGTATTGAGTGCATTGGGTACCTTTCACAGAAGTCCAAATATTGCAAGAGTCCTATTTATTTTACTTGTGTAAGTCTCTTAATGCTTAATGGACGACTAAGAAATCTAAGCATTCAAGCATTGATGAATGTTACTTTGATTTACCTACTATTATTAATATTTTAATAAGCATTTACATACCTACTTAATACTTATGAACAACAGTACTTAATAGTTTTCTTTTTTATTATATTTATTAGCTGTTTTCTTATTAAAAGTGCCGCAGAAATGATGTATAATCTAATCGGGTACACGTCCCATGTCGATGAACGAGAATGAAAGCGAGAACAATTAGCATGCCTTCAGGACACACTCCACTGTTCAGATGAACAATGTTTCCATCTGGAAAATCGGTAACTGCTCTTATTATGCTTTAAGAGAGCTTTTGTATCAGGAAGTGAAAAGTATAAACTAGTTTACTTTACGACCAAAGTTAAAGCTATGTGTATGTAGGACGTATAATATTTGTATTGTGAGAGTATTATATAAAAAATGCAAAATGTGTATTGTGTAGGTACTAGGTAATCATGTTTTTGCTTATACCCCTTTGGGTATTTACTTGTTTTAAGATTTGTATGATATGCATAGAGTTGATAAAAATCACTGCTGCATAATGGTAAGGGTAACTTGAAAACCAAGTGAAACTGATTCAAACCTTGGGTCTTGCATCTCTTATATTCTCATATGCGATTCATTTGTAACATGATTAGCATTTGCATATATTTGCATTTGGTGAAGGAAAACATCACGAAGAAACCCGTATTTCTGAAAGAACCTAACTAATTTCCGAAAACCCGTGAAGTCCGCAAAACCCGCACTTGGTCAGCTTGACCATGGCCAGCACATAACAGCAGTAGAACGTTAAAAATAGCTGAATACTGATGCCATACACGTAATTTAAATTACGGTACTTCGGTACGGTAACCAAATTATTAAACAAAGATTTATGAAGTTTATATTAATGTAAAATAGCTATGGTTTTTGCGTCCATTATACGAGAAAATATATACATTATATAACCTGACGATAAATCGGAGCCTGTGAACCCGCTAGCAATAAATCATTAGAATTACCGTTTCAAGTTTATAACATTGTGATTTCTCTAATTAAATGGTGTACTGAGCATTGAATATTATTTGAGCCCTAATAACGCCCACAAGATTAGTAACCACTAAAGATGATGTTCGTAGTATATGGATAACACGACATACCTAACAATAACAACAAAAATACAACATTACAAAACAGCTGTGTATACCTATTGTAAAATCGAAATACTTTAGGGGCTGAAATTTATAAAATTTATAGAAAACTTTCACCTGAAAATATCGCATATCTCAAAAACAATTCAACATATCAGTAATACTCAATTATTACACATGTATATTCATACAACACCACTTTTCGAATTTCACTTGTAAAGGTAATTAATAAGGATGAAAAATGCTAATTAATTCCTTATAGCTTAGATAATATCGTTGTATTTTATATCTATACTGTTATCTTCATATTCCACTAAACCAGGCAACCACCTCATAAATACAAATGTATTATTGAACTATTAAGTGCATTGACTCGTGTTTTATGAATGTCATGTTTCATTGTGAAAAGTCATATTTATAGAAAATAATTTATTGGAAATTACCTCTTAAAGCATCAGTGAGCAGAATAACGTAGTTTGCAGATAGCATTGCATTATTGAACTATCCAATCAATATAGAAATAATTTCTACATCATTTTGCAATCATTGTATTTCATTACGCTTTTTAACTAATTTGAATTTTTGTTTTTTCTTTTTTAACTTATAGATCTTATAATAACAATAGTCAAAAGTCTGCTTTACACTGAGATAAAAAATTAAATTCTCTAACCGATATTAGACATATTTTACATATTATAATATTAATGCTTACATTAATGTCCCTTTAAAACAGCTATTTTTAACATTCAAATATACTCGTAATATAAACAAGAGTCAAACAGAAATTCGTTTCTCATTCCTGCATAATTAAAGACGATGTATTTTTAGCAAAGCGAACTGAAAATGAAGTTATCAGTTCTTAGCTTTTCCAGTTTAAAGTTTCAAACGAAATCAATTTGGAAGGCACGGTAAGTTCTGAAGTGCCTAACTTCCATCGGCTCTAAGATGAAAACTCTACTGAAAGATCCTGTATAAATACACGAGTTAAATAACTTTTTAGACGTATTCCTATTAGGAAAACGTTTAGATTAAATATTTGGTAAGTTTATTATGTTAATATAATGATTATATTATTTATATAATTACTAGCAGAACCCGCGGCTTCGCTCGCACTAAAACTACAAAAAATCTCTAAAAAGGTATTTTCATACAAACTTTCATCCCCTATTTAATTAAACCCCTTATAGAATGAATTTCGAAAAATGCTAAAACACGCATTTATTTAATTTTATTGAAGAGCATTAATACCAAGTTTCAAGTAATTCTGATCATAAATATTTTTTTGGATTGTATTATAACGTGTTTTCCCGTGGAAAATAGATAATCTACTGCGGTAAAAAGTATTCTATGTCACTCTCCAAGCCTCCAACTATCTCCACACATAAAATCACCCCGATTCGTCACTCCGTTTCGACGTAAAAGAAGTACAAACAAACAAACAAACAAACAAACAAACACACTTTCACATTTATAATATTAGTATGGATATGGATTAATACCAACATTATATTATATAGTAATTACTCATAATAGATTTTATTTCATTGAAGGACTCTTCTCTCAGAATACATAATATTAATCTTAATTCTACTCGTAAAATAAGTGAATAGTAGGTTAGTAGGTCATTAGTCACAAAGTTCTAAATAATAACAATTATTTTACCTGTTACCTACTACTGTGTCATGTCTGATATTCGAGAAGCAATTAGGAGAAACTGCGTACTCGACGTTGATGATAAATAATATATTAAGTAAAGTATTTATAGTCGTATATTTTCATATTCAATTACTCTGATTGCCCGTTTAATTTTTGAGTAAATATACCTCTTTTATCATATATATACTCGTTTATTTTCTTATCAGATTATAATACAACTGTGAACTGGACATATTATTAAAGCATGTATTTTCACCCATAATATATCTTTTTACTTTAGTTTTACATGTATTCAGCCCTTTTTAAACGTTCCATTGCTCGGCACGGGCCTCCCTCCAGTACGAGGGGGGATCAGGCCATAGTCCACCACGCTGGCCAAGTACGGATTGGCGGACTTCACATGTCTTTTGAAAACTTGCTAAACTTGCTAACTTACTGCGTCTTTCTTTAAACCATGAATAACGAATTGCATTATTTTTAAAGGGTAACTAACACAATAGCTTAAATTGTAAGATTAGATTGGAATAAATGCAATCGCCAATGTCATATTTTACAACAGCGGTATTTTAAACAGGATATTTAATAACGACTAATCGAATTTTTTTTATTCTGCCATTGCATCCAAGATTCTGACATATAAATATGTCGACGAAGTATAATAGTATGGCGGATTCCAAAAGTAAAATGCATATTTATTCGTTGAACCCATCTCAAAATGGAATGACGTTTTATACAATATCAAAGATGATTGATGAAAGGATAAAGTTCAGTATTTTCTCTGTAAGTGAGTTTTGTAACTCTTTTGAGAAAATGTCTTAAACCACATTATCCTTTCTATAGCTTTTACTAACAAAATATACACATCACAAAATCTACATGCTACTGAGTACCTACTGATAAGCACGACCCCCTTGGTCTAAAAGCATAAAATTTTGCACAAAATTTTTTATGTAAATAAATTGAACTGGATTTTATATATCGCGTCCGTCTAAATAATGCAAACAATATAAAAAATGTAATCGAAAATTGTATCTAGATGTCTACAATAGTAATTCAGATTGTAATTAACTAGTAAATACCGATCAGTACAAGCGTTGAGAAAAATACGTTTCTTGCTCTCGTGCTCTTATATTATGTAGCAGTTCGCGGATTCATTTTTACTCGGGAAAAGAAATATTAGCTTTACTAATACCTACTTGAAAATAATAGACAAAAAACATTAAAAATCGTAAAAGTGGAGACGATATGTGACTAATGGTCATTATTTTTATCCATCTGGGTTGTGAATATGAGGATAAGATAAAAGCAGGAAAATATGTTTATTGTATATATAAAACCAGAGTTCCTCATAACGAATTAATCATTCATCTGTACCTATTTCTAAGTTTGGAGCGTTTCAGTAATTGACCGCAAATTGGTCACGATGCGTACGAGTTCCACGCACTGATCAATCATAATTGTCGCGGACTAACAAGCAAGCTAACAGCCGGCGCAATTATTGAAATAACTCGCTAATAGATGCACTCGTTGCAACATCCTGTGCTTTTATAAACCTATCACCTTTTATACGCAGTTTTCATTTGCATTCGTAGCGTAAAAACGTGTCTAAAATGTTTTTGCACTTTTTTATAGCCCTATTGTTATTGAAAACAGTGTCGCCACAAATAAACGGCGAATTTTGGTGGCTTCATGAAAAGGTTGCAAAACTACAGCAAGTTGAACCACCTCCACCAAAATTTGATGATGTTAACGATTTCGATACTGATGAAAGTGTAAAAGTTGTGTTTAAGGACAATGAAATGTATTCGAAGGAAGAAATTAATGACAATATAACTAAAATAGAATCTTTCCTCAATCAAGGTGAAGTATTACCAAATGTAATTTATTTTCAAGATCAAAGCGCATTGGCCACACCAATTATTTCAAAAAATAGCACTTTTATTAAGAAAAACGTAACTAACATGCAAGTAAGTGAAGCTTATAACAACTCGATTAAGGAAAAGGAAACATATCTCCTAAATAATAACACTCACAGTAATGGAGATGAATTTGAATTTATTTTTCCCAAGAATAACGACCTATTATGGGAGGATAACATAAACAATTATACAAAGACTGTCATATTTAATGACTCTAAAATATATGATAGTAAAAAGATGTATAAGCCAAACACAATTAAGTTAAATGACAAAGTATGGTTTGAAGAAGGAAAGAAACAATTTGAATCTGAAAGTATTTGTACCTTTATGACGAAAGAAGAATGCATCAGCATAAAGGGTATAGTTAATTTTCCAGAGTAAGTTTTCAATTAGTAAGGAATACGTCAGCTATTCTTAAAACATTAATATGTAACGACAACTAAAATTAATAGTAATTTATATATTTCAGATCATGCTCTAGAAAAATTACCTTCGAAACGCAAAAAATTTGTTGCATACTTCCTTTACCCACTAAAGTGGCATCTAAAATTCGATACCCACAAACTTTTCATACATTTGTGAAACGTTATAAGCGTTCTGAACCTGGCGAAAAACTAAGTTCGGTTTTAAGGCAAAGAAATGCTTTGTTACTACGAAATCACTCTCAAATTCAAAAAAATAAACCAGCTCTTAAGATTGTAACGCCCGATTATGTTGATCCATATTGGAATATAAAAAATCCTAAATTTAGAAACCCAAGTACACCTATTAGCCAAGACTATAAGAGTCCAGATTATGTTGACGACTATACTGCAGAATTACCAAGACCAGGACTAGTTGGTATTTATTCAGAAAATGAGAAATTACAAGGAGAAACCAGTTGGAAAGTCAGAAACATAAGGAAAGGTTTTACATACTATGACGATACAGATGAGGTCAGTGAAGAAGACGATGATGATGATGATGATGATGAAAGTGATATACCTTTAGGATATTCTACTTTTGATCCAAGACTTGGTACGGGAATTAGGTTCCTTTTTTATTTATTTTTTTCTAATATTGAAATATAAATTAAATTTTTATTCTTTCTTTATTAAGGCATATCAACAAACAAACCTCGGCCTATAAGACGTAAATTGAATCGAGTGACGACACCCAGAGTTGATACAATGCAGCATTCGGAAAGTCAAACTATAAATTTTCACTCTACTCCAGATTTTCATGTATTACAAGGATTTAAGCTCATCAATTTAGTAGGAAATAAAAATAGATACGTAAGAAAAACAACTACGGAACGGTTTTATGAAAATGATGAAGAAGAATCAATAGATCAATCATCGCCTGTAACAAACTCCGATGGTGAATATATCGACACTATTGATGTGGAGCAACAAGTATACAAGCGCTGTGGAAAAAACATCAAGAGCACCTTGAACAGCTTAAATTCTGGTGAGTAATGAAAGGAATATAAAAAAAACAATAATAGTCTTTATAACGAGCACTAAACTGCTAATCATAATCTACCATTCTAAATATTCTCATATTCATTATTTATTGCAATATAATATTGGAGGTTTTATCCTTAGAAAAAGACGCAACAGAAAATGGATGCGACCCGTGGCTTGCAATTGTCGTGACAACGAAAAATCCCGAGAGTATTTTGTGCTACGCAACAATTGTGCACCCCCGAGCGGCTGTCACTGCGGCTGATTGTGTTCACAAGTAACGTATAATAAAATGTACCACTTTTTTTAACTTCGGCGAATCTCAAAGGAAAGTTATTATAAAGCAAGACTCTTGTACAATGAATAATTACAACAAAATATTTCATAATCTGTTTGAAGCAAATGCTAATATATACTTTTATTAATTGAATCTTTTAAGCCAACAGTGACTTCGTATCTCCACAATGCATAAGCTTTTGTAAAGTCGACCTAAGCTCGTACTGTCGCTATCAATAAATCCAATAAGGAAAATTATAAAGCTGAAATACCTACACGTAACAACTTGAAGGATTCTTTTAATAATATATATTAAGAAATGTTTTTCCTATCCTGTCTAACTTATATAAGTATTAACTGCAATCATTTTTTTTAGGAAAGCAGTTGGTGAAGTTACTATTATGAGTGGTGTGTGGGACTTAAAGCAAGATCGAGAGAATTCACAGCAGCGAATGGCTACAATCCATGTACATAAACAATTCAGTTCGGGAGATCTAGCAAATAATCTTGCTATTTTGGTAATAACCAATATAATGTATTTTTTGAGTAAATTTTACGATATTGCCTTTTTATCCCATGTTACTTATAATACAATTAATGGTCATCAAATTCATTTCTTATATAGAAAGACACAAAATAAATATTGCTTAATTTCTAAATTGTACAAAAGTCATAAATTCTATAATATTTAACATTTTACCATTTATTAACCGATAAAAGGAGGCTGTCCTCCAGCCGTCGGTGCCAGCCGATACAATAAATCAAAGTACACCGACTTCGAAAATATCTGATTAGATATCAATTGTAAATGAAAACTATCCATCAGTTATTTTTTACTTTTTAATGTTTTCTTTTTGAAGCCAGTTTTTATTTTATTTCTAATCGTATTATTCTTAACAGCATTGGAAACGTCCATTGAGAATAGATGCAAAAGTGCAACCGGCGTGTCTTGGGGACCCACATATCGGGGATAGCTGCTATTTTGTTGGATGGGGTGGATACGATCAAGGTAAGAGGCGAGAAGAATATATTAAATGCCAAAGATATTTAATATATTCTTCAACATAAATAATACAATTAAAATATTTTGAAATATATTAAAATGTAAAAAATCCTAATATCTACAATATAAAAGTTGTCTACTTGTTTGGGTGTTTTATGTCCGATTTCATCAACATCCCACAAGCTACCACCTACGTATGGGATCCCTAGCTTAAAAGTTCCCCTAAACCTAAATTAAATTTCGTTTTACCATCGTCAGAGCCCGTATTTCTAGTACCTATATTTAGGTGACCCCTAACTGTCAGTGAAACAAAAAACTGTACCCTAACAACCCCCTTACCATGCTTAGGTGATCCCTTAAAGTTGGTGAAATCGGCCATTAGACTCCTTGTCATTGCTCTCACAATGAGAATACTTTTTATCCTATACCTATCTACTAATAATTAAACTTAGTACTTATATTTTCAATCATATACCTACTATAAATATAATAGTATTTCCCGCTACAATAAAACATGTACATGTATAATGTGTATGTAACATGACAACTGACATAATTTCATTGGACGTATTACCTAATCATTTAGGCACAATAGAATGGGTTCATTATGGTCATTGCATACGCTATATTTGCCTTTAGATTCGAGTTCAAAGTACTCACATCCAAACTATTTAATTCACTTGTAATTCCAATAAACATTTTGAGTAGGTAAAGCTTGAAAATCGAGATCTTGTTCAATTTTTTGCTTTTTATTCATTATATTTTTAAATTACTACACGTACGGCGCATGGCGTATGGGAATTATTAAGGCCAGCACTTTTTAGATAAACGGAAAAAGTTTTATTTTTATTTCATATCGTTATTTTGTATAAGTTAGTGTAATTTACAACAACACACATGCCAATCTTATTTCCTTTTTTTTCTTTTTTGTTTTTATACATTCTTCTACTACTGTAGACTAAAAAATATTTTGTTATACCTATGTTCCTTCCAACAAATTATCCAGTCATTTATCCCTGAGGTGATTTCGAAGTTTCGAAAAGTTGTACTAATTACCGAATTCCGCCTACACATTATGCTGTTAATATTATAATTAATACGAAATTTTGAGAGCGAATGTGTTATACTTCTTCAAAGGCTCTACGAATTTGTGAGAGTTGGAACATAATATACTTTTTACCGTCATACTCGAGTAAAGCCGCAAAAACTACGTAGTTACAATATACGATACAATTACAATTATAAAACAATCTGTACTTAATACAATGATGATACTACGGGACTAAACGCGTGTATTCCTAAGTGGCAAAATTCTCAAAGTTTCTGACGTTGGTCACTGCCCCTGACCACGACTGGTTCATCCAGTCGAAACGTCGGGAATAAGGTATTTAAGTAGTGTCATTATTATACAATTATGGAATGCAATAAAAACTTTTTAACAAAAAAATAAAAACCGACTTCAAACAAAAGCACTAAAAAGTAATAAATAACTGATTGGTAGTTTTCATTTACTATACATACCTAATCAAATATTTTCGAAGTCGGTGTGCTTTGCTTTGTATGGGCTGGCACCGATTTCGAAAATATTGGATTAGGTATGTATTTAATAGGTAGGCTTTAATTACTTAGCCAAAGCACACCGACTTCGAAAATATTTGATTAGGTATGTATAGTAAATGAAAACTACCAATCAGTTATTTATTACTTTTTAGTGCTTTTGTTTGAAGTCGGTTTTTATTTTTTTGTTAAAAAGTTTTTATTTTTCCCTTTTTAGTGTAGACAGTAGTAGAAAAGTAAGGATTCTAACGTGTTAGGCTTGTCAAATCAAACAAAATAAGCCCAAACTCAAAGTATCTACTGTTAGCCGTTGAAGAGTTTCACCATCCACCTTCTGGCCTTGCCATCAGATCAGGTCAACAACACCGAACTATGTACTATCAACGGAAATAGAAATACTTGCAAAGTTTCAAGTCAATATGACAATTAGAAGTAGGTTAAATTCATCATTCGTTGTTTTTCCACCCTTAGGGGTGGTATTTTTTTTTGAAATTTAAATGGGACCAATCTGGAAGTATACCCTTTCAAACGACACAAAAATTGTCCAAATCGGTTAATAAATGACGGAGTTCTGAGGTAACAAACATAAAAAAAAAAAAAAAAAAAAAAAAAAAACATACAGTCGAATTGAGAACCTCCTCCTTTTTGAAGTCGGTTGAAAATTTAAATCTGTACGTATTGTATATATTTTAGCTCTACAGCCACTATCACACTGGCAGCACGCTACCATACTCACACCTCGGGATTGTAACGACAAGATATCTTCACCCGATATCAACATACCAGCTGCAGCATTCTGTGCTTCAGTGAGAACACGTGGAACTGTGGTAAGCATGCTTGTTAAACCATTATATTACATTTATATTTACAATATTATGCGGGAAAAAATATTTTTTACGACAGAAACCATACCAGGCGTTTACAGAATAACCAACAGTTTTCGGATCAATGGTTTAGGATTGCATAGAGGACAGACATACAAACATTCATTTTTATTCACATATCTAGATATAAGATAGATAAGAATCTCTTAATTTATACATATGCTACATAATATATATGATAAAACAGACCTAAATTAATGTTTTTCTGACTACTACTTTAGCCCATATCACTTTTAACTTTATTATATAGGTGACATATGAGTCGAGTATGTTTACAGAAAAATAATTTGCCTACTCGAGTGTTTTCTTTTCTTTGAGCTTTGATGTATCTACTTTAATATTTGTAATAAACTGAGTATCTATTAATTATATGCCATCATATTGAAAAAAAAGAAAACAAAGTAAAGTCAGACACTAAATCCAATCAAGCTAACAATTAATATTTGTAATATTTTTATACGTCACAGATTTTTTGAAATTATAGTTATTATATAAAACCTCTTTAAATGTTTTAATAATTCAACAATTTCTCTCTTTTAGACTGGTGTGGGTGGCCCTCTTTTGTGCAAAACAGGAAATCGTATATCAATAGTAGGGGTAGCGGTGTATCGGGAAAGCGTTATTGTACTGTTACCAACCTTTGAATGGATCATCTCAGCTTTAAAAGATCTACAGATTCAATAAATTTAGTAGTATTATTTCATGAGATTCATTCAGAAGCTGAATTAGCAAGCCGCCGTATTTTATTTTTGTTTCAAAGTAGCGGCGCACGATTAAGCTACTACATATACATATTAAAGTACTAATAATATTAGTAATATGGTACCCTAAAGCGTCACGTCTCTAAAATATTCTGATATGAATCACTAATAAAGCACTAGATACAGAATCAGCTACAAAAATGTCCTTACCTAATGAGAGCGCACTTGAACATTTGGGTGCACTTTTAATTTATTTGCTGATGGTGTTTATCGTCGGAGCGTTCGAATGCTTATGAAATATGAGGCATATTTATGCCCCAGCGCTCGTATAATATTTTTGGTAAGTATCAACATTATCATTATATAATTGTTATCACTGTATTGTAAATCCTGATATTTTGTCAAGAAATCATCATAAAAAGTTTTTAAATTAAGTCGTAATAAACAGCTGGAGTTATAAAGCATCTCAATTATAAAGACTGTTATAATGATAATCTGACAAGGTGTCGCTTGATACTCATGCGCCAAAACTTTAGAAAAAAATAAAAATGGCGGACTATTGCCAACGCCATAAAGATCTATCCCCTTAGTATTAAGTTTTTTAGATTTAATGTTTTAGTTATATATTTTTTGTAATTTCAATTATATATACAAATGAAAATAATATTGTTGTATCATTTCAAATGAAAGACCAATTACTTTCCTTTAAACTTTATTTAATTTTATTATAATTTAAAAACATTATTTGTGAGCAGCATTCGATGAAATTTAATACCAATGAACGTAATAATGCTAATTATCTAATAAGGTCAAATCGTGACTGTATTAATTTTCATAAAATGCTCAAAATTCCAAATGAAGTTGAAAATAAAAAATAACTATAGGAACTAGAAAATAAATCTAAATCACGAAACATTGGGAATGTCGAGATCTACACTACATTGTAACGTTAGTTCAACACTGTAATACAAACTTTAAATGCACTCGTATAAATAAACCAAACGAACAAAAAATATTTTAAATTTCCATCAAGATATCGAAAAGTCTGACTCGACAATGTTTTAATACCTACCTTTTTAAACCAAATATATGCATTTCAAATTTAACATAAATATATTAGTTTAGTCTATTTATACTCGGCTTTATAATTAATATTACTTGTATATCTTAACTTTATACAACTCTCTTTGGTGTCGAACTTGAGGCAAAAACGTCGTTACAAAGATTGTTTTAAAATCATATATTTATAAAAAAATAACATTCATAAGTCTTATAAATAACAGCCATTTTTTAAACTAAAATAAATTAACAATTCTAATTTTCATATTAATACAGCTGTTATTTTGACTAAAAGAGAAAATATTGTCGTGTTACATTGTAAAATTTAATTTACTTAAAGGTGTGTACTTTTGACAATTTACTACAAACCTAAATTAAAAAGGAAACTGTCTTCTACGTCCACAATGTTCACATCACTATAACGTAAATAGACTATACTAAAAAAAACATACAAAATATTAATACTCTGAGCATTTAATATCATGGGATGTGGTTTATTCATGAATTTATATCTATTTCTAGTATTTTAATACATGTACTTACTACATTTCAAAAACTAATAAATCCAAATGGCTATAATGTTTTTTTTTCTACAACCACAATATAAAAAAACAATAACTGACAAATGCAAAAGTGTACTTCCTTATATAACATGTAATACAGATAATAAATATGCAATACTAAACAGTTTTATAGCTAGGTATTGTACAAACAATTAAAAAATAAATAAAGCAAAAATAACTAACTCTATGTAACCTTTATCACTGTTTTTATAGTTTACAACAAAAGTTACAATTAAAAATGTTCATATCATTAACAAACCAAATATTTATAAAAAAAACTTTGGATATAGAAGATTAAAGAATAATAAGATTAATTTATAATCACAAATAAAAATATTTTTACAGTAAACATTTTTATTGGTCAATGTGTATTTAAATTATTTTTTCTTTCTTTACTTAAACACATGTGTTATACAACCGTAGCTATATACCGATGACAAGATCATTTATCACATTCCGCTCAGGCTATCACCAGAGGCTCATCGTCTGAGAAACCGTGGATTGGAGGTACGTCGTCGTCATCTGGAATAAACAAAAAAACGATTGGAAATGAATAAAATAACGATTAACTTATGTTTATTTTTTATGTTTTAATTAAATATAAAGGCTAAGAAAATAATACATAATAATATATAATTATTATAAAATAATAAAAATAAAATAATAATAAAATACCAAATAATTATAACCATCCCAATCCAATCAAAATAACAATTTAAATAGATTCTAAAGCTTCGCTTAGCTTCTTATATAAGGTGCTTTAAATTAATCATTGAGTATTCGGTGCGTCTTTGACGTTCGACTTTTTAATAAAACTACGTAAGAAGATGGAGTCTTTCCTTTGGGTTTTAGTTGGTAGTATAAGCTTCTCTTCATAGGTGACATGCGTACACATAAAATAGATGCGCTTAAACGAATTTCTCATAATTAAATAAAAAACAACAAACAAACATGATTAAAACGTAATATATTGGCGTTTCTCTGTGAACTGGGCAACTTCCTGTCTCACATAGATAGCTTACAAACAACTATTATATTATTATACACTGAGAAGCAAAAAAAGTGAAAAAAATGCTGCAATAAATAATGTCAAGAGTTCAAAGAAATGTAAATCTCTCGTATACGGGAGAAAAATGAACCCCAACCCTAATCTGGGTCATATTTTAAAAAAAAAGGCTCAATGTTTTCTATAATACTGAAAATAATTTTGGTTCCTCAGTTTTTTATTGTAAACTATTTAGATATTTATTCGCTTAATAATATTTTTTTGAAAGATACAAAACAAAATAAAAAAGTGGCAGAGACACTTTTGTTACAAATGTTACCTAATTCACAGACATAATAAAATTGAACTAAACCGAATCTGTACATTAACTATTTTTTGGAAAATCTTTTTGAAACAGTCATTATTATTGATACAGATGCCGGATCTATAGTATTTACAATTTTTGTCTGTCTGTCTGTCCGTGACCGTATCACGAGAAATTCACTGGACAGATTTTGATGAAATTTGGTATGATAATAGCCAGTTATCCGGGTCAACATATAGGATACCTTTTACTGCGGGAAAATATTTCTTCTCTAAGAAATCTATACAAAAACTTAAAACGTAACTAGGAACGAACCCAGTCGCTAGTACCCATATGTGAACAGATTTCTCGAAACGAAAGCCATCAAAACATACCATGATCGATGGTGGCTTGCCCGCGCCGGCTGTCGTATCTGGTGGTGGCCGCGAGGTGCAGCAGCGAAGCGGCGAGGCGGCGGTGGCGCAGCGCCGCGTGCAGCAGCGCGCCGCCCAGCGCCAGCGCCGCCGCGCACGCCGCGCCCGCGCCCCACCACGCCGCCTGCGCGCCCCACCCGCCCGCACCCGCCTCACTGCCCAGGGACTCTGCACCTATAGATTACAATGACTTGAAACTTTATGACCGTGTATAATGTTTACAAATATAACTGTTTTTGTTTCGTTTAAATCAAGCGAGTAGTGTTGAAGTTTCGACAATTTTAGTTTCCGTCCTTTTCAAAGAGACTCCGCACCTGTGGATTACGATCCAGTTCACGATCTCTAAAGATGATATGATATTTATCTCAGGTGTGTCACTCACTATTGTATACCTGTTCAATATACTTGTAGTAGGTTTGTAACTAAGTATTTAATATTGGAACTAGTATAGTAATATAATCTGTGATATTGGTAATAAATTGTTCCTACGTCACATCGGATCACGCCACCTGCTCGTGATCGAACCGGTTTCGCGACAGTCACTCCTGCGACGCGCCGAGCCCTCTAAACGCCCGAGACTCGCTCACCACCTCTCGCCGTGTGCATACGTACGGTCGTCTCAAGAAATCAACAGCGATAATACAGTCCATATTACCACGAAACGCATTTTTATTTAGTCAAGACCACCAGCATTACATCTGGAGCTTGGCATTCAACATATGGTCCTTCGAAGGAAGAAGATAGCCGTCTTATTGCTGTGCACATTGCCCGTGGACTTCGGACCGCCCGTCGACCGCCAGCGCCAAGCCGCGGAGGACACTTAGAGGACAGTCTACCACGTGGAGGAATATTTAATATTGAGTGAGTCCGTTCCATATCCTTTATTTTCCATCTTTTCTAGCTTTTTTCCTTCCTTGGAATTTAGGATTATTCTATCGCGGATCAGGCATATTGATCTCTTCATATAAGCTAGCATATTCTTTATAGCTATAATTTAAAAAAAAAAAAAAATATAATAAAAAAAAAAATCTTATATATTCGTATGAAGCTTTAATAAATAATAATACATAAATTCATTTAAATCGCATTCCGCTTAGTCATCTTATTCACTTCGAGCGTTTAAACATTACATAAAATTGCATTTATATTTTTTATCGCAAGTCATTAGTGAATCTTTTGTGTTGAATGGACGGGTTGCGATAAGCCTTTTGTTCTTGCTTCAACATTCATTATTACTTTGAACAGCTATTATATACAGATATAATTTTTTTTTACAAACTTGTAATATTATTATTTATTTATATCGCTTTGCTCGCGCATAAAATTCATCTTAATTTCTTAATATGTCTGACGCAAAATTGAGAGATCTTGTGAGAAAGCGTGGCAGCTTTAAGGCTAAATTAACATCATTTAGTAATTTTCTTAGATTTTTACCGAGCAATAATTTAGATCCCTTTCAATCGGCGGAACTACAATGCCGCCTTGATCAAATGGAGATTCTATATAAGGAATTCGACGTGTTACAGACGGAGTTGGAATTGTTGTCGGAGGACGCGGATGCCATGTACGCTGAGCGGGAACAGTTCGAGATGCAGTACTACGCGCAGGTTGGCCGCGCTAGAGTAATACTTACTCCCGCGCGTCCTACGTCGCCAGCGCTCGCCTCTGCCACGTCGGATGGCAGTGATCATCACGGCTCTGGTTGCAAGCACGACTTCGTCCGACTACCCAAGATAGACTTGCCTCACTTTAACGGGGACTATCAGCACTGGCTTGAATTCCGAGATACGTATATTTCCTTAATTCACGATAATAAAAGCATACAATCAATTAATAAATTCCATTATTTGCGTGCCGCTTTAACCGGCAGTGCATCGTTAGTGATAAAAAGCATTGACTTTAAGGCCGATAACTATACTATAGCATGGCAGTTGTTGTTAGACCGCTACAATAATGAAAGGTTGCTTATCAATAATCATGTTCAAGCGTTATTTAATTTTTCTGTTATACAAAAAGAATCATGCCATTCATTACGTAATATGATAGATATTATAAATAAAAATTTAAGAGCACTTGACACTCTCGGACAGCCTACAGAACATTGGGACACATTAATCATTTATATGATGTCTAAAAAATTGGATACTGTGACCAACCGAGAGTGGGAAGAATTTAAAAATAGTTTAGATAATTTTCCAAATTTAAAAAATTTTCAAAAATTTTTATCTAACAGAGCTGACTTACTTGAGACCTTGCATGACAATAAAAACTTAAAATGTAATTATATAAATTCTAAACAACCTCATGAAATTAACAAAAATACAAACTATCTTACGACTACATATATTAAATCAGAAAAAGTTACATCATGTCCTATGTGTTCTCAAAATCATTTCTTATTCAGCTGTCAATCCTATAGAAATCTCGATGTTGATTCGAGAATCAAAAAAGCTTCTGAAAGCAATATTTGTATGAACTGCCTTCGTCCTGGTCATACTGACAAACGATGCAAACTGTCACATTGCAAGTATTGCAAATTAAAACACAACACCCTCTTACATAAGGAATCTCAAATAGACCTTAAAACAAGTGACAATATCACATTGTCGACTAATATTATTAATAATACACAATCAAAAAATAATCAGGCCCTTATAATATTATCCACAGCTATGGCAAAGGTGGCTGATGTCAATGGGAGGCTTCATCCTGCCAGACTCCTCTTAGACAATGGCAGTACTTCCAATTTCATCACCCAGGAACTCTGTGGAAAGCTCGGTCTGGTAAAACAAAGCTCTTATTCAACCATCTCAGGTATTAACGGTCAAGTTTCTAGTACATCTGAAAGTTGTCATCTTACTATACAATCTTCTTGTGGTGACTATCAGGTGAGCATAGACTGTCTTATTTTACCGACAATAACACATTCACTGCCTAGCACTTACGTAGATAAAAAACATCTGTCTATTCCCGTAGGCCTTCAGCTAGCAGACCCTACATTTAATACACCTTCAGCGATTGATATTCTCGTTGGCGCTGAAGTCTTCTGGGACGTCTTAGGTTCCAATTCGATCAATTTAGGTAATAATCAGCCTAGGTTGCAGTCATCAAAATTAGGTTGGCTTATTTCTGGTTGTGTATACCAGTCCCGACCTCGTCAACGTTCATCTTTGTGTCATTTTCTGTCAAGTAGGGAGAGTGATCAGCTAACTCGCTTTTGGGAGCTTGACTCTGTATCAAACCAAAGCTGTTTCTCTTTAGAAGAGGAGGCTTGTGAGAAGCTCTTTCAAGAGACTACCTATCGTAACGAGTTCGGCCAATTCATCGTCACCATCCCATTGAAAGACTCGCCTGAGTGTTTGGGGGACTCTTATGCAATGGCCAAGCGTCGGTTTATGTCCTTAGAGCGCAGGTTTGAACGTGACTCCGTTTTTAAAGACAGATATTTACAATTCATTAAAGAATACATAAATCTTAATCATATGACAGAAAATTCAAAATCATTAAAGCATTCAAAATTTAATTATTTTATGCCACATCACGGTGTGATACGTGAGTCTAGTACTACCACAAAACTTCGCGTAGTATTTGACGCTTCAGCCTCTAGCACCTCAGGCAAGTCTTTCAATGATATACAGAGAGTAGGTCCAACTGTGCAGGAGGATTTATTGTCAATTCTCTTAAGATATAGCCAATATCAATTTGTTGTGACAGGAGATATTGAAAAAATGTATAGAGCTATTTTAGTTAACCCACCACAGCGCCAGTTACAGCAAATTGTCTTCAGATTTGATTCCTCAGAGCCTTTAAAGACATATACCCTTAACACAGTGACGTACGGTACCGCTTCAGCACCGTACTTAGCTACTAAATGTTTAGTGTCTCTAGCAGATCAGTGTGAGGATCCAGAGGTTAGTGAGTCTATAAAGAGAGATTTTTACGTTGACGACTACTTGAGTGGTGGTGACTCGATAGAGTCTGTCGTTAAAGTATGTAAAGGTGTTATTGATACTCTCGAATCAGCAAAGTTTCATCTTCGTAAGTGGCAATCAAATAGTCCTAAAATTTTGGAAGCAATCACTAGCACAGACACTAAATATGTAGATAAAACATTAAATTTAAATGACTCATCTCCTTGCAAAACTCTCGGTCTATATTGGGACTGTAATTTAGACCAATTATTCTTTGCAGTTGATTTTAAATATTCTACAATTAAAGTTACAAAACGTTATATCCTATCGTTAATAAGCCAAATTTTTGACCCCCTTGGCCTCGTCGGACCATGTGTGGTCCAGGCAAAAAATTTGTTACAAAAATTATGGATACTCAAATGTAGCTGGGATGAAGAGGTACCTATAAATATCAAATCTCAATTTCTGGATTTGATTCAGTCATTTTCAGCTCTTAATTCTCTTCGCATTCCTCGTTGGGTATCATGTAGGAAACCCTCTGTGATCGAGCTTCACACCTTTACAGATGCCTCTGAACACTGTTATGCTGCTTGTTGCTATGTGAGAACGATAACAGTCAATGGGTCAGTCTGCGTTCGCCTGCTAGCTTCCAAAAACAAGATAGCTCCTATAAAACCCACAACTATACCACGTTTGGAGTTGTGTGGTGCTTTACTAGGTGCACGACTTTATAAAAAGGTACGCAATTCACTTACCGTAGATTTTAATACCTGTTTCTTTTGGTGTGACTCGACGATTGTTCTGGGGTGGCTCTCTACAGAGCCAAGACGACTTGAGCAATTTGTTCGCAACAGAGTTAATGAAATACAAGAAATTACAGCTGGCCAGACCTGGAGCTATGTGCCTTCTAAAAGCAATCCCGCCGATCTGGCTTCTCGAGGGGTGAAGGCTGATTACATCAGCGCGTCCACTCTCTGGTGGTCAGGTCCGGATTTTATCAATCAGACTAACATCCAATTTCCTACACTATCTAATTCACAGTTTCGTTCATTACCAGACATATCTTTGCATTCAAGTATGGATAACAACATAAATGATAACAATTTAATTTCAAATTTAATACATAAATTATCATCATATACAAAATTGGTTAGAGTCATAGCATACATAAAAAGATTTATAAATAATTGTAGGAATCATAAAAACAAAATATTATCTTACCTAACTCTTATAGAATTACAAATGTCACAGTTGTTAATATTACAGATTTCTCAGCAGGAAATGTTCCCTGAGGAATATAAAATACTTATAAAAAATCAGGCCTTACATAAGAAAAATCGATTAATTAGTCTTTCACCCTTTATTAGTTCAGAAAACTTAATACGAGTAGGTGGACGTCTTAAAAATTCTAACTATTGTTATGACGTCAAGCACCCCATCTTATTGTGTAGTAAGCATCATGTAACAAAAATCATATTTGAAAAGGAACATAAAGCACTTTGTCATGCAGGACCTCAATTACTGTTAGCACACATTAGGCTCACTTACTGGCCCCTAGCAGGAAAAAACCTAGCAAAGCAAATAGTACGTAATTGTCTTAAGTGTACTCGTCTCAAAGCGCAACCTATCCAGGTCATAATGGGAAACCTACCTAGCGATAGGACGAACCTAGAGTTTTTTGACGCCGGGCCAGTGCTGATAGCCGACCGAAAAGGTAGAGGTTGCAAGTTAAAAATATTTGTGATATTTGGTGAGTCGCTAGTATAATATAATTCGGCTATAAAGTATCGATTTAATAAAACAAAGGTCAAATTAATTTAAATAACATACCAGCCATAGTCAAAACTTCACTCAGATCGCTGTAATATCCGTCTTCGGTAATGGCTCTAACGCTCACAAATAACGGTCCCGTTGGAGCGCTATCTGCAGTCATTATCAAAGGCGAAAATTCGGCTACAGCTGTCTTAATATCTTCATTTGGATGAAGAAGATCTTCTGGTATTTCCTTTTGAGACACCAAGATTTGATATTTAAGCCTGGAAATAATTATAAAAATATTAATTTTGTAGCAATAAAAATCAAAACAGGGAAAAATAGACGGTAAGTTGACTTCAAAATATTGTTATCACCTCAAGGTAAATGTCTAACAAATTTATTAAAATTCTAAGAAATCTATTGTTAACTGACACGCCGGCGTGTCCGCGGTCGTGGAGGGATTAAGCAGATATTTTTAGGATATATACAAGTCGTTTAATGTAGCCCTTTAGACAAGGCAATCGTGCTTACACGATTTTAATGTGCGAGATTAAGTGCCATTGACGAAACAACGCCTTCCTTCACTTTCCTAACTCCGGGCTGTTACTGTGACTTTCATACTCAACACCTAAAGGTCCGACCCGAGACTCGAATCTAAGACCTCCGAATGTGCAGCCGTACATACTAGCCGCTAGACCATCGACGCAATATACTGTTGTCAGTACCACTACCATCAGGTCTCATCACGAACAAAGAAAAATTAGTTCAATTAAATGTCAATAGATGACGTTACAAAGTCTTGATGCTTCGTAAAGCATCGTCTTTATCGAACGGAACACTAACAGCTCGGTATCTACTGGGTACTTAACGTACTGAGTGACTGAGACGACGCTCTATAAAACCGAAACTAGCCGTTTTTCTCCCTCTTTAGCTCGATGTGCATTATTTACCGTCGGTTACTTTAGTGTGTAGTACTAACTTGGGCACTGAGGCGTTGTCGTCGGGGTGCTGCCAGCTGACCATGACGTGTCCGGTGGGCGACAGCCACGCCATCACGCCGCTCGGAGCCTCCACCTCGCCGCTGCGGAACAGGCCGCACGTGGAGGCCGACCCCTTCTCTGTTGCCTGGGTGATATGTATTTATATTATTTATTTATTAAATACACTAACAGTATACATATGGAACATTTACATAAATATTATATATGTATTACAAATTTTCAAACTTTGTAAAATTTAGGTATTTTATACAACCGAGCTTGATCGTACAAATAAGTACAAAAAAAGTGTGTATGTATGTACTTATGCACGCACGTAAGAAGTTATACTTCTTTGGCGTAACAGAACAAAAATAGCTAAAGATTTCATCGCGTATATCACAACTCTCTGTTTGTAAAATGAATGCAGCTAACTTCATCATGACGCTTTTTAACTGTCGGTGTGCGCGCGCATCGTAAAAATTTTACCCTCATATTTTTTTCCAAACGTCCCAAAAGAAGTATGACTTCAATAATACGCCCATTACTTTTTCTTAAATAAAGAAACAAAGAGCTAAAGTTTGTGGCAGTGGCTAACACCGCACAAGCAAAAGTAAGACAAATAATAATAAAATTTCTTACATATACACAGATGTTGAATCGCCCACCGAGCGGCACGCCCTCGATCACGTGTGCGAGAGACACATTCGCACTCGCTTTCAGTTCGAATCGACTTATTTTGTCATGTGTCAATTCGGTTATGTCCAGCTACAATAAGATGATGAATGAATTATTATTTATAAGTTTTTAACAAAGCTGAGCACCTCCTTTTTTGAAGTCGGTCAAAAAATAGAAAACAGAGGTATTCATAGTAAAAAGGTGTATATTCTTTTACTAATGATGCTCAAAAACTAAATTAAATGGGTAGCGTGGTTATTTTAAATACATATAAAAAACTTTTGATTTTTAGATTATTTGGTTATTTGCAAGACAGATAAATTATTATAGCGCACAATACAATTCTTTGAATTTCTAGACTTTTCTCTATATTAATATGCATGTATTATACATATAATCCTTCTTCTTGAATCACTCTATCTAGTGCTGAAAACTGCATTAAAATCCGTTTAGTAGTTTAAAAGATTTAAGCGTACAAACAACGGAAGCGATTTTTTTATACTATATAATAATAATAATAAAATTCAAGGAAAATTTACTTTGGTTCTTAGTCATATATTTGATTGCTTCTTTAGCTAAACTTAGGTAAACAATTTATTTTGTTGTGTTTATCATGTTTGTATTTTTATTTCAATAGATCCTTTATCAAATTCACAAGTGTAATAACTTACCCTGTAAGCCACTGGCTCTTGTATGACGTCACAATTTGCCTTCCACAAAATTTGAAGCTGTGCCTTTTTCGTGTCGAATAAAAAGTGTAAATCTTTTACAGGCGCCCTGAGTAATAAAAATTAAATATATATTTATTACGCATAATAACAAGATTTAATTTTAATGAACATGTATCGAAAATATTATATTTCAAATGAAATAAATTTATCATATAACTTATTATACTTTAAAAGCTATACCGCATTACATTATCAATCATAAAAAAAGTTCAATTTATAAATAATTTCAATTCAAGATATAACAGACTGTGTGTCATAGAACGACCATTATTGCAAATACTATATATACATCCGGATAACAATCCTAAGTGATTCACCAGCCCCCATCTCAATTATCCCTATGCAAAAAATCAAAGTTTCTCATTGTTCGCTAATTTTTATGTGAAAGGAACACAAAATAGCAAACCAACAATCCCTTTCACATTTATGACAGTAGTAAGGATTACGTTCATAATAACTTACTTAGGATTTTCTCGTGTAATAATTTCCCTTGATGTAACCGGTCCACCGCGCAGTCCCACCGAAAACATATAGCTTTCACAAGCATGCAGACCTTCGATCAGTATAGTTGTGTTCTTTATCACTATATCTGTGCCTAGAACGAAATTAAAAAAATATGTCAGTAGATATATTACATTTTACATACATAATATATAACTTAAATAATATTACTAACTAGCCACTTACGGCTTACCCTCGCTTCGCTCCGGTGCGTTCCTGGCTACATTTTAAATATAGATAGTTATTGCGGGTGTACCTTAGGAGATAGACTTATTCTTGATATTGACAAACAGACAAACATTTTAATAACTATTGTTTTGGAGTCAGTACTCGGCACACAATATGTTACAGTCATTATTTTTAAAAAATATTTCATGGTTAGATTTTGCTTAGTTACTGTTTTATTATATGTATAGATTGCTTAAAATGTGGTGTTAGTCATATAGTGATGTCATTAGCCTACTTTATTTAAGTTGGTATTTAAGCTAGTGTATCTTATTATATTAGATCAGAATTAAAGTGTAATTAAACCTAATGGTTGTCTCATTAAACTAGAATATTTAGTTTCATCAGATTCAGATATATAATTCATCAAGATAAGGAATCAGATTTTGGTAGGGCTAATATTAATTTTCAGATTACTTAATACAGTAATTAGTATTTTTTATTCTAATAAATACTAAGCCGGTAACATAATACTTTCTTGCTTTATGCAAATACTTGACATTTTAAATAGTATTTGAAGCTCGTGAACCAAAAATTAAAATAAACCCGCGAAAAAGTATGAAAATCTGTACTAAATAGCTCTACGTAGTACAACTTCAATTTACGTACATCTATCTATATGTATACATATAATAAAATTGTAACTAATTTGAATCTGTACATTAAATATTTTTTGGAAAATCTTATTGAAATAAACATTATTATCGATACAGAGGCCGAGCTTTAGTTTTTAAATTTTTTGTCTGTCTGTCTGTGACCGCATCATGGAAAAATCACTGGAGGGATTTTGATGAAAGGATGGGTGTCAATATTCTAAGTAATTTCCAAATGCAATGGGCATACGTAAACGTAAGCTGTATTTTGATAAATTACATTATTTGGATAAAATTAAGTATAATGATAGCTGGTTATCCAGGTCAACATATAGGATCCTTGTTAGTGCGGGAAAATATTTCATTTCTAAGAAATTTATACTAAACGTTAAAACGTAAAGTATTAAAGTATTGGACTTTATTTGGTTTTTATCTTAAATACAATTACCCTTAATTAACATATACATGAATAAAAACACAAAATTCTTCAGGGGAAAATATACCTATCTTATTGACACCCATCTTTTGGTATGATGATAGCTGGTTATCCTGATGATACTACTTACTACGGGAAAATATCTCATCTCTGAGAAATCTATACTAAACGTTAAAAGGTGAGTTATGTTTTACATAAGAATAACTAATTTTAAAATATATTGAGGCTCACCATTATTCTTCCATTCCGGCAAATTGACATAATAGATTTCATATTCCAACTTCTTGTTCTTATATCTGTCTGCGGTTGGAGGCGTCCAGGACAGTTGTACGGAAGTGCGTTTCTCCTTTAATAACACTGCTGTCATATTGATTCTTTCGTCTGGAACCCCTTCCGTCTTAAGGGGTATTGTGAAGGGGTCACCCATTGTTGTGTTCTTAAATGCTCTAATGTCTATGTATACTGTGACGCCGGGTGGTAGATTTGTTACTGAAACAAAATTTTTCATTACATTATAGTTACATTTTTAATGTTTTAGTGTAGAATATTTGGATGGAGTATTTATTTTTTATATAATTTTATCTTTATTGGTTTTCATAATACTTTCTTAGATTTGCGCGAATATTTGACATTTGTTATTTTAAATAAAACAAACAACAAACAGTGCAAGAGCGAAAAGTAGATAATGGCCTTTGAGACGTCTAAAACTTTAGTCTCTCCCGTGACCATGATTGCTGTAAAGCATTCGAAATGTCGGGAACCAAAATCAAAATAAAACCGCGAAAAAAGCCGAAAAGATAGTTTTTTAGGTTTTGTTTTAAAAGACAATATAGTATATGCATATTTACGTTATGTATTATTATCAAAGTAAAAAGAAGAGTTTGCACTTAAGCGACATTTGTGTGTATTAACATTTTTACAATAAAGCTAAAATTAAAGAACTTATTTCTTGTATAAGAATATTTTATTTACTTTTTTTTCATTAATTTTTATGGTATATTAAAAAAAGATATTGTTACTAGTTATAGTCATTGAAAACAAAGTAGAATAGATGGGATAATATAATACTAGCACATATGGACTCTTGGATAAAAACTGCGGACTGAATTTGGAATGGTACCCCTCACGCTGATGTATCAAACATTACTTATAACAAAAAATAATTAAAATAAATGAAACAGTGAGTATTTAGTGTACATCATACCCGGCCACACCACTTACTTTCTCTTTTCTCAGAATCATCCCTAGGTTTAATTACTAACAGTAGCCTATGTATTACTGTAGGTTATGACCTACAGTAATACATAGGCTACTGTTAGTTCATACATATATTTTAATTCGTCTAGCTGTTTGAGCTTATAGGAGTAGATAACGTTTACATATATTATAACAATAGAATAAAAAATAAAACAAACACTCACTATTTAAGGCATTATCAGGAGTAGTGATCACATCTCGCTTCCTATACCCGGGCGGTAGCCGCAGCTGCACGGCGTACCCGTCGACGCCGCGTAATCGATGCCAGTGGAGGCAGGCGCCTCCATTTACGCGCGTCACGCTCGCGTTCACGATATCGTCTACGTCACTCACGTCGTCGAATGTTATGTTCGCTATCGGCGTCGACTGGGATGTTTGCGCGCCGTTTGTAGCTGTCACCTGTTATGGATACCAGATAGTTGATACACTATGTAATTATATATATAAAAGATTTGATTTTATATTTGTTTGTTTGTACCGAATAGGCTTCGGAACTACTGCATCGATTTAAATGAAATGAAATTTGATAAGAAGATAGTTTGACACCCTAGAAAGAACATAGGATAGTTTTTATCCCGAAAATCATCCCTTAAGGCGGTGAAAATGGGGATGAAAATTTGTATGGGGAATCATCCCTTGTACTTTTGTTGGGCGTCTTATAAAATCGTTTAAATAAAGCATAACTAACCCAGAACGAATAATTCTTATTAGGTTTGAAGAACCCTTCTAGGACGACGGACACGGGCTTGTTTTCCGCACGCACGAGCCTCTGTATGGGCGGCAGCGGCGGCACGTAGTACACGGTGTAGGAGAGCAGCGCGCCGCGTGGCTGCGCGGGCGGGTCCCAGATGAGGTTCACTCGCCGCCCAACCATCTGGCGTACTGTTAGACGTCTGGGTGGGGAAGGTTCTGGAATGTTTAGTTTTTTTACTACATAGTATAAAACAAAGTCGCTTCCCGCTGTCTGTCTGTCCCTATGTATGCTTAGATCTTTAAAACTACGCAACGGTTTTTGATGCGATTTTTTAATAGACAGAGTGATTCAAGAGGCAGTTTTATATGTATAATACATGCAAATTATACAGAACATATTTAAAGAATAACCGAGAAATTCAAAGATTTGTATTTCATACTAATCGTTAAAACGTATATAAGGACGAACCCGAAAGAAGCGAGGGTGAGTCGCTAGTTTTTTAAATAAAACTATCTTTTCGGATTTACGCGAATTCATTCTGACTTTTGGTTCCCGACGTTTCGTATGCTTTACAGCAATCAAGGTCACGGGAGAAACTGACCACGATTTGCTGTAAAGCATTCGAAACGTAACCAAAAATCAAAATAAATTCGCGAGAAAATCCCGAAAACATAGTTTAATTTATAAAATGTCAAATATTCGCGTAAATCTAAGAAAGTATTATATACCAAATTTATCAAAATCTGGCCAGTGTTTTTCTCGTGATGCGTTCCCAGACAGACAGACAAACAGACAGAAATTCTAAAAACTATAGATTCGGCCTCTGTATCGATAATAATGACTATTTCAATAAGATTTTCCAAAAAATATTTAATGTACAGATTCGAGTTAGTTAGAATTTTATTATATGTCTAGATTTGTTATCTCCATTATTCTTGGATAAGTTATGTAATATTACAAATGGGTATAAAATTTTATATCGAACAATGATTATAATAAGTCATTAATACATGTTAAGAAATTAAAAAATAATAATAATATCCTTATCGAATATTGTAATAAAAAACCTTAAGCAATTAATCTATATTAATTTTGTTCTTAAATCAAAATAATATATGACATGAATAGTTTCATATAATAATACGTGTAAAAAAAAGTATTAGAAAATCTAAACATACCTCCTTCACCAGTCATCGTAGAAACATATTTATCTGATGCATATACACTTTCCGTCCTGCTATCCTTAATATAGACTGTCACGTTGTATTCAGTGTATGGTTCCAAATCAGTAAATCTAAAACAAAATACATTAATTTTAGGAAAAGTTACCTTTTTAATAATTAATATAACGATCTTCCTAACTTCATTTGTGACCCTTTTTATTCCAGACATTCTTCCAGACTATATTAATTAATTTTTTTTCGCTGTATTGTGAAAAATATAACTAGTTAAATTACATGCTGTTGTAAGTTTAATTATAAGTTCTTATAAAAAGAAATTCCTTATACAATATTCTCAAATTGTAAATCATTACATTATGAACAGTTTAAATACTTGATATAATAAACCTACATGTAGACACTTTCATTGGTCCACGTCATATTTTTCCACGTCCCGTCACTGATCTTAGATATGGACGGCAGGTAGTTCATCATGACAAACTTCTTTTGCGGGAGCCAGCAGGATATCAGGAAACTTGTCGAGTTTATTGAAAACTGGTCCACTCCTATGCTTATAGACTGTGGAACAAAATTGATAAAATAATATATGAAAATTTAGTAAAAAGACGATCTTGACATCTGTTTTCAATAGTAATAGATTTATTAAGTTACACTTCTTTTGCACGTTTGGAAAAAAATATGAGAATACAATTTTGACGATGCGCGCGCACACCGATAGCCAAAAAGCGACATGATGAAGTTAGCACAAAGCGACATGATGAAGTTAGCTACATTCCTTTTACAAACAAAGAGTTATGACATACGGGATGAAATCTTTAGCTATTTTTGTTCTGTTACACCAAAGAAGTATAACTTCTTACTGTTATACCCCTTCGCTGTGAAAAGCTATAAAAGCTGTGAAAAGTGTTAGTGAAAATCCAGGTTGTCCACCAGAGAGTGAGACGCCTACGTCTACTGGCAGAGGACCTATGGCCCACACGTGAGTGATAGATAGTATTACAATCAAAACAATTTATTGAAACAAAAGTTATAATACTTTATACTTTATGAATATTTAATACTGATTTATTATTTTTCTGATTGTTCTGTTTATTTTTATCGATTTTATATTTTTGAATTGATTTAAATATTCTTTTGAAATTTATTAAACCCTATGACGGATCTAGGGATACAATTAATTCTTTTCTAACAAATTGTAATAACGCATACGAACTTGCATCTGAATCACAAAAACATATATTATTTAAATACATTTTGAGTCAACTACAAGGCAAGGCTGAAATAGCAGCCTCAATAAAAGATTTTACATCTTATGACCAATTAAAAGATTTTCTAAAAACTCAATTTAGTCAAAGGAAACATTATTCTCATTTAATAAGCGAATTACAGGAATGTAGACAAACATCTGTGGAAAATGTCACACAATTTTCTATTAAAATTGAATCTATCTTATCTCAACTTTTGACAGAGATTTCTATGAATCCTACTAAAAAATTAGAGATTCCAGGCAGAACAGCTGCTATGGAGGACCTAGCCCTCCACCATTTCTTGATGGGTCTCCACCCACGCATATCGAATATAGTTAGGTGTAGATCGCCTAAAAATTTAAATGAGGCCATTAGTTTAGCTATTTCTGAGGAAAAAATTCAGAAAACATTATATAAAAAGGCGGAAAATTTTGAAAAACCTAATAAAGTAGATAAATTTACAAATAGTAATAATTTTCATAGAAATAATTATTTTAATAATGTACCCAGGCAGGTTAATCAGTATAGGTCTTTTAACCCTTTGCAGCGTTATCCGAATAGTGCGCCTACCACATTTACCCCAAGACCTCCTCAAGGTCAAGGACAAGTTAGTCAATATAATCGACTTACTAATAACTCCAGGCCTCAATTTAGTAATAAAAATTCGAGTAATCCTAATAGACCTCGTATAAATTTTGTAGAGGATGATCCTTCTTATTATGAAGAAGAAGGGAGTTCATTCCCTTATGAGGAAACGGGCTCATACGTTGAGGATAAACCCAACGAGGACGACGATTATGACTGTCAACAGCCTACTTTAAACGAGTAGTCGTCCCGTCAACGTGTCGGACGCGACAAAATCTTAAAAATGGCACGAATAAGATTTATAAAATAACAAGTAATAATAATAATAGATACTTACCCCATATTAAATTGCCAACTTCTGGCAGTTCTAGACCCTTGTCATTATTAATAGATACAGGTGCCTCAGTCTGCCTCATTAAAAGTTCAGCACTATCAAACACCTTAAAAGTGTATCCCAACAATATTTCTGTAAGAGGAATAAATTCGAAAGACGAACCTCCATTGAAAAGTTTAGGTTACGTAAACTTAAAATTAAAAATTGGTAACAACTATATATGTCATAATTTTCACGTTTTTGACGAATTACAGCTTCCATATGATGGTATTATTGGTACTGACCTTTTTATGACATATAATTGTCAAATTAATTACAATTCCAACAGCCTAGAAATAAATAACTATAAAACTTACCTTATGTTTCACGAACCTACATATGTTATAAAACCTAGATCTGAAACGGTTATAGAATGCACTGTTGTAAATCCTGAAATTCAAGAAGGATTAATATTAGATAAGAAAATTTCGGATAAAATACTTATTTCAAATTGCATGGTAAGAGTGAAACCTAACAATAGAGTTAACATTACTATATTAAATATTACAGAAGAACCTATCCAAGTAAATTCTAATCTACAACTCAAATTAGAGAAAATTCCAGCACAGAATGTAAATTTAGTAAACAATTGTCAAAATACAATAGAAAGAACTGAACAAGTTCTAGAATCTCTTAGAATATCTCATCTAAATTATGAAGAGAGTGAACAACTTCTAGATATTTGCTCTCAGTACTCTGATATATTTCATTTACCTGATGACCAACTAACATATACAAATGCACTGAAACATCAAATTAAAACTAACTCCGATATTCCCATTAATACAAAATCATATAGGTTTCCACAGTGTCATAAAGATGAAGTACACAAACAAATAAATAAGATGTTAGATCAAGATATAATTCAGCCATCCGTATCACCATGGTCTTCACCAATATGGGTTGTACCAAAAAAAATTGATGCCTCTGGCGAAAGAAAATGGCGTGTAGTAATAGACTACAGAAAACTCAATGATATAACCATAGGCGAATCGTACCCCATTCCCCAAATAAATGAAATTTTAGATCAATTAGGTAATAGTAAATATTTTTCTACTCTCGACTTAGCGTCAGGTTTTCACCAAATTCAAATAGCACCAGAAGATGCCGATAAGACAGCCTTCACCGTTCCAGAAGGACACTTCCAATTTAAGAGGATGCCATTTGGGCTAAAAAACGCTCCAGCTACCTTCCAAAGACTAATGAACACCGTATTATCTGGTCTCCAAGGTATACATTGCTATGTTTATTTGGATGACATTGTCATTTATTCCTATGATTTAAATTCACATATAGAAAAGTTACAGAAAGTATTCAATAGGTTACGTCAATTCAATTTAAAATTACAACCAGACAAATGTGAGTTTCTACGTAAAGAAGTAAATTATCTAGGTCATATAATTACGGATAAAGGAGTTAGACCAAATCCTGACAAAGTTAAAGCCGTGAAAGAGTTTCCTACTCCAAAAACTCCAAAGGACGTAAAATCCTTTCTAGGTCTTATTTCCTACTATCGCAGATTTATTCCAGACTTTTCCATGTTAGCTAAACCCCTGACTTCACTTTTAAAAAAGAACACCTCATTCACCTGGAATAATGAACAGCAACTTGCATTCGAAACCTTGAAAGGTAAATTACTAACAGCTCCTATACTCTCTTATCCAGATTTTACCAAACCTTTTGTTCTCACTTGTGATGCATCGAAGTACGCCATTTCAGCAATTCTATCTCAAGGAGAAATAGGAAAAGACCGTCCCCTTGCATTTGCATCTCGTACTCTTAATAAAGCTGAAACAAATTACAGCACTACAGAAAAAGAATGTTTAGCAATAGTTTTTGGTACTAAAATGTTTAGACCTTATCTTTATGGGAATACCTTCACCATTGTCACAGACCATAAACCCCTCCAATGGCTCTTTAACTGTAAGGATCCAGGATCCAGACTCGTAAGATGGAGACTGAAACTAGAAGAATATAATTACAATATAAAATATAAAAAAGGAAAAATTAACTCTAACGCTGATGCTCTTTCAAGATACCCAGTGAACCCAGTTTCAGTTTATACAAACGAAATGAATCCAGAAGCGCCGCAAGTTTCTGAACAAGAAACTATAAATATTGATAGAGATCTAGAAGAACTGCTAATTTCTCCACCTTCTTTCCGATTAGATGAAATTCTCTCTGATACAGAAGAGCAACTTAACTTACCTTCTCCAGAACGAGAAAGATCTAACTTACCTTCTCCAGAACGAGAAAGATCTAACTTACCCTCTCCAGAACGAGAAAGATCTAACTTACCTTCTCCAGAACAAGAAAGAATTAACTTACCTTCTCCAGAACAAGAAAGAATTAACTTACCTTCTTCAGAACAAGTTGACTTACCTTCTCAAGAACTTGCTGGTTCTCCGACTGCAGAGCCTATTGCTTCACCTGCTGTTGGACCCATTGACTTACCAAGTCGAGAAATAAGCCCATCTATTGATGACTATTCAACATTTCTCAAAGCAACATCTGAAAAAAATAGGAATTTTAATACACAAATTATAGAACATAACGAAAGTCTAATGAAATCTACTGTAAAAACTATAATAATTCCTACCTCAATAGACCTTGATGAATCTAATCCCTATATAGAAGAGATTTTAGGTAACCATGAAAATTCAAAAGAGATTGTAGAAGCAGAGAGACAGCTACATTCTTTCCAAATAATAGAATCAACCAATAAAACTTATCTTCTTCTTTTCACTAGAGTACACCATTTTGATGAGTCACGTTATGCTGAAATATTTAAAACTCTGGAAAATGCCAGAAATAGGTTATTAATATTTGAAAATATAAATGAAATAGCAATTTCAGATTTTAAAAATCCTTTTGAAAAACATTCATTTACTAAGATATATAATATGCTAATGTATCTTTTCCATAATACTAATATAAAAATAAATATATATCATAATAACATAGTTTATCCTTCACCTACTGAATTAAAAAAGATATTACGTGATAATCACGATATACCCATTGCAGGACATCTTGGTTCTGTCCGCATGTATAACAGAATAAAAGACATGTATTATTGGAAAGGAATGCGAAAAGATGTAGAGATATATGTTAAAGCCTGTAAATCATGTCAAGAAAATAAAGCCTTAAGGAAAATAAACAGAGCACCTATGCAAATAACCAGCACTTCTACTGCTCCCTGGCAACGTCTTAGCTTAGATATAGTAGGACCACTTCCAGAATCTGGGACAGCTAAATTAAAATACATTCTCACACTTCAAGATGATCTTACTAAATTTTCTGTAGCTTACCCAATTCGTAGTACAACTGCAGAAGAGACAAGCGAATGTCTTCTTCATTTTATTGCTATTTTCGGAATTCCCAAAATGATCCTTACCGATCAAGGAACAAATTTTACATCGGAACTTTTTAAAACAACTTGCAAATTTTTAAAGATTAAACAGTTATGGTCTTCGCCTTACCACCCACAAACGCAAGGAGCACTGGAAAGAAGTCACTCCACCCTGAAGGAATATCTGAAATCATATGTTAACGAAGGACAAACGGATTGGCCTCGTTACGTCTATACTGCAATGTTAGCTTATAATACCAGTGTGCACTGCACTACTCATTTTACACCCTATGAACTAATGTTTGCTCACAAGCCTTTTATTCCAAATTCTATTTTCGAAGAATCACCTGGAGCAACCTATCCAGAATATGTGAAGATGCTACAAAACCGTTTTAAATATTCAAGAGAAAAGGCAATTCAAAACATACGAAATTCTAAAAACAATTCAAAAAACTATTATGACTCTCATAGTAAACCACAGCAATATAAAGTAGGTGATTATGTTTACCTAAAAAACCATTTAAGAATGCGGAAGGCCTTATCTCCTTTATGGAAAGGACCTTATAAAATCGTGAAAATTCTTGGTAACAATACGTTATCACTATTAATCAATAGACGACATGTTACTCACCATTATGACCAAGTAAAACTAGCTGATATATCTAGTAATAATATAAGCTGATATATCTGGTAATATAATACTTTATGAAATTTCAAATTAATTAGATATAAGTTTTTGCAGTTAATTTACATTTACTTTTATATTTTTATGTTATTTTTATTATATTCAACTTAAGGGTTAAATAATTTTAGCATCGGGTTAATTACGTAAATAAAAAATAATTAACACATTATAATATTTTCAGTGTATCCGCCCAACTGGAACAGGAATTCATCCAACGAATTTCCGCAAGCTCCGGCATTTATTTTGATTGCTAAATATATCGCAATAACGATTGATAAGAATCATTATTTTGATCTGGACAGTTTGAATAATTGTTTAATTATAAATCATGAGCATTTTATATGTGATGTTCCTAATGTATATGCAACTGATGCTAAGATTACTTGTGAAAGTAAATTATTATCAAAGGTTATTAATAAACTTCCCGACCAGTGTGAAACAAAATTTATATATGGTAAAGTTGATATTTGGAAAAACTTAAATAATAATAAATGGATATTTATTCAATCTGAAAGTAGTAAAATAATAATAGAATGTCAAAAATTGAAAACACATCGTGAAAATATATTATTGGGAACAGGTATTTTGAGCCTACCCCAATCCTGCGTTGCCTACAATAAAAACACAGTATTGATGGGAAAAATTAATAAAAATATACATTCGGAAATAATTACCTTTGACTATAATATTATTAATGACACTTGTTGTAATAAATTTAAGTTAGATAAGGTTAAGGACAGTGTGTCTCCTATTAATTTAGAAAAAATAGATTTAGATAGTTTAACAGTTCAAAAAGAATCATTGAAAAGGAAATTATTAGAAACTGAAATAGATACAGATATTCCTCATATAATTAAGTATGGGACACATTATTCTATGTTAACCATAATGATATTGGTTATTATTATTTTTGTCTTAGTTTATTTTATTAGTATTAAGATTATATACTATTATAAAAAATGTAATAAATCATTGGGCCTTAACATAGATTTAAAAGACGAGAATAATTCTGATAATAGTAACTTACAGGTAGAGGAACAACCCTCTTATCCATCAATCAGATGTAACATTTAATTTTCATAAACTTCGGTTTAAAAAGGAAGTCCGAAGTTTATTTTAACGGGGGAGGTGTTATACCCCTTCGCTGTATGGGTTATTGCTTATTTATGTTATAGCCCTACTAGCTATCATCATTTTGTACTCTATATATATGTCCTTTAATTTGTATTAAGTTAGTTCGAGAGTATCGTCGGTCGAGAGCACTAGCTCTTAATATCCCATATATATTGTATAAATAATTAATAAAGTTATTAAAGTGTTTTCAGTGATAAATAAATCTTTTTTTTAAAAAGGGTCTTATCCAGGGACCCATAACATTACGTGCGTACATAAGTACACACACATGTTTTTTTTTATCAAAGTAAATTAATATGAAAGATTTTAAGGTAACGGTTGACAATTATTCTAGAAGTTAAAAAGATCATATTTATAGACCACAAAATATATTATATGCCATTTCGATTTGATTTAGCCAAAAAAAAACGCAAAATCTAAACCTAATAAGAGGCATTCCAGTCTAGTTATTTGTCAAATATTTATTTCAAGAGGGGCAGAACAAAATGTTCCGTCGAGCCAATTTCCTCTTATAACAAAAGATAATATTAAATCAAAATATACATTATAGAACGTCCGTTTGTCCTCATTGGTGCAGTTCGCCTCGTCACTGCCGTCGTAGCAGTCCTGGTGACCGTTGCACACCTTCACCTGCCACAGGCACTTCAGGCCGTCGTCGCATTGGAAGTAGCGAGACGGGCAGTTGGATATGTTTCTGTGTTTCTGTTGAATCAAACAAATATATATTTAGTTTATATTAGCGTTTTAACGTTAAATATAGGTTTTAGTATAGACTTCTCAAAGACGAGATATTTTCCTATAGTAAAAAGTATCCTATATGTTGACCCGGGTAACCAGCTATCATCATACTAAATTTTATCAAAATCTGTCTAGTAATTTTCTCGTGATGCGTTTCCAGGCAGATAGACAGACAGACAAAAATTCTAAAAACTATAGATTCGGCCTTTGTATAGATAATAATGACTATTATTATCGATATTACTTTTACCTAGGTACTCCTGACATACAGGTTTATTCTAGTTTGGGAGTCAGAGGCTTCAACAGGCTTATGTAACAACAAACAATTGTGTCAATAAAGATTCTATTCTATTCTAGGTGCAATAATATTCTTTCAATGTCTCTCTCAATGCAATTAGACAATGGACCACAATGCTGGCCACATCACGAGAATTGGTGGTTTCCTGAAGATGTTACCTTTGCCGTATTGGTATGTGTATGATTACCATGTTGAAAATGAATGCAATAAAAAATCAGTTTACATGTATTAAAATCGCGCATGGAAACAATGGGTAGTACTGGTTTTCCTAGCCGACGAGTCCCACATGACCACCTGTACGTATACAGGTGGTATGCATATATGCATTTCCTAACATAAAAAAAACAGTTACCGTGCCGCAGTAGGCCTCGTCGCTCGCGTCCTCGCAGTCGGGCGCGCCGTCGCACAGCTGGTGGTCGCGCACGCAGGCGCGGCCGTCGGCGCACAGCGTGCTGTCGGCGGCGCAGCGCGCGGGCGCGGCGACCACGGCGCCGCAGCCGCGCTCGTCCGCGCCGTCCGTGCAGTCCGGCATCAGGTCGCACACCCACGACAGCGGGATGCATACACCTGGACAGTGGACACGTTATACAAGCGTTATTTATTGTAGTTAAATGACGTTTTTTATACGTTATTCGATTTTGCTAATGGAAACCTAAAAATAGATTGAAAATATAAATTTTTAAAGTTATACATCTTTTGGAACGTTTGCAAAAAAATATGAGAGGAAAATTTTTACGATGCGCGCACACACCTACAGCCAACAAGCGACATGATGAAATTAGCTGATAACTGTTGCCATGATAACAGTTGCTATTGTCTGACAAATGATATACATGTAATATTATATTCCTTCCTTATATGATATTCTATTTTGTCCTTTTAGGCCAAAGAAGTATAACTTCTTACATGCGTACATAATAATTATGTATTATGTAATTATTACACACACACGTTATTTCATCACGTGACATTTTTTACATATCGGATTAGTATTATATATACGAAAGTATGTATATGTGTGAGATTGTTACTCATTTACACTCAAATGGCTGGACGAATTCGGATGACATTTAGAATAGTTTAGTATGGAGTAATACATACATGGGCTATCTATTAAAATACCCTTAGGGTACAAATATATTTTTTATTTTATTAATAAATCACAATATTACATTATAACCTTCAAGGTTATCCTTATATGTTATCGTCATTTAAAACCCAATATTGATTGTTAAGTAATTAGAATAAGGTGTTAATGTATCGTATGTTAAACAATAAAATATTAAGCAAATCGCAAAACTATAATTCGAAACGTGTTAGAACTGAAAACTTCACATTTTTAATTAATTACTTCATAAATCCCACTTACCAGGAGCACATGTAAACTGATTTTTATTGCACTTTGTCCTTGTCGCATCATGCTCCGGTCTTACAATTGGTTTCTCAGGGTTGACCAAACCACATAACAACTCATCAGAGTTATCCCCACAGTCGTTTATCCCATCACATCGCCACCAATATGGTAGACAGTTACCATTGCTACATCTAAACATCCAGTCTAAACAGGAGCCATTGTGAGGGAAAATGGGTGTCTCTGTACTTGGCCGTGGTATGAGTTTTGTATGACCGACTGAGGAACAATTCTTTTCATCCAATGAATCTACATCGCTGCAGTCGTTTTCGCCATCGCACACCTGTCACGGGCATAATATTAAATATTTAAATGTAATCTAATCATAGCAAGCATTATAGACATTGTGGCTGATAAAAAAACGTTCAATATTTTCTTTTCTTGAATTCATTAAAAAAATAATGAAAAAATGTATTCATACCACGCTTGTGACCGGTCCTCGGTAACGGTAACATTTTAATTTTAAAAGGAAATATTTTTTTTTTAAAAGGAACCTTATTTTTAAATTTAAAATATTAAATATTTTAATAAAATATTCAATAATAAATAACAAAACTATGCTAAAACACTAATTTACCCAAGATATATAAATGCAATTGCCACTCGGACAGCGGGACATGTAGGAAGCGTAGATGGAGTCTATACAACGGTCTATCCCTCGTCCCCGCTTTAGGGACCGTCCTGCTCAAAACTATAATAATAACTAACAACTCACCCTCGCTTCACTCGGGTTCGTCCCTAGGTTGATACCCCATACAAACATTTAACCCAGCTTTCACCCCTTTAAGGACTGATTTCCGTAATAAAAAATATCCTAAATTTTTCGCAGGGTCTCACACAATCTTCTTATCAAATTAATCTAAATCGGTCCAGTAGTTTTGAGTTTATTCGATACAAAATCTTTCCTCTTTATAATACATAGTATAGCGTAGATAAAACGAAGCTAACACCCAACTCACCCAGGACATATAAATACATTTGCCACTCGGACATCGGAACATGTACGGCGCGCAGGTGGAGTCTTTGCAGCGGTCCGCGCCCTCGTCCTCGCCGCCGGGGCAGTCGCGCTCGCCGTCGCACACCCACGAGTTGGGTATGCACTGGCCGCTCGTGTCGTTGCCGCAGAGGAACACGTGGCCCGAGCACGTCAGCGAATCCGGACGTTTTGGTTGGTTTTGCTGTCATATAAGAGGAATTATGTATTATAGTTCACTAGCGACTCACCCTCGATTCGCTTGGGTTCGTCCCTATGCACGTTTTAACGATTCGTATGACATACAAATCTTTGAATTTCTCGGCATTTCTGTACAATAATATGCATGTATTATACGTATAAACCTTCCATTTGAATCACTATCTATTAAAAAAACCGCATCAAAATCCGTTGCGTAGTTTTAAAGATCCAAGCATACATAGGGACAGAGAGACAGCGGGAAGCGATTTTGTTTTATACTATGTAATAATTTTTCATTTGCGAGCCTAATAATGCAATTAGTTTTTAAACCATTTTAACTTGGGAACCAAAAATCAAAGTAATTCCGCGAAATAATCCGAAAAGGTAGTTTTTAAACCCCTAATCTCCAAGGTTCCATGTCAGATCAGGGAATAATATAGAAAGAATTTCATAGAACTAAACATGAAGCAAAACAAAATGTTTTGAAATAATTTATAATGTTTTAAAATTATATAAAAATGACAATTTGTATTCTGAGTGATAAGTAAATAAATGTTAATAAATAAAAATAGCAGAGCGATTTGACATTTATTTTTGGCGGACTCCATTATATAATTCTTTAGTCTGAAGGTTAAACATAGTACCTATCGAACTATTATTATAAATACGAAAGTTTTTATGTGTGTGTATCGTTTACACTGAAACCAGACGATTTTTTTTGAAATTTAATGCACAGCTAGGCTACGGCCTGGAGTTAATACACACGCTGGTACTGTTAGGTATTCAAGCGAAGGCAGACCTAAGTCGCTAGTATACAATATTCCTAATAAATTCAAATTTTGCGTTGTTTACTAATATAAAAAAATTGTGTGTGTGTGTGCTTATGTACACACGTAAGAAGTTATACATTTTGGCGTAATAGAACAAAAATAGCTAAAGATTCCATCCCGTATGTCACAACTCTCTGTTTGTAAAAAGAATGCAGTAACTTCATCATGTCGCTTTTTGGCTGTCAGTGTGCGCGCGCATCGTAAAAATTTTACTCTCATATTTTTTTCCAAACGTGCCAAAAGAAGTATAACTTCAATAATAGTATATGTATATTATAAATGCTAAATAAAAAATATTTTTGCATTGACTACAAACAATGGGTTCAAGTTACTAAGAACATATTATAGACAATCTGACTGAAAACATTTTAATATTATCTACATATACCTACTATGTAATTTGGAAATTACATAATTAACAGAATAAATACTATTCCCTATTAATAAAAAAATATTATTATTGTCTTACCGCACAATTACGTTCATCAGATCCATCTCTACAGTCGTTGTCCCCATCACAAACCCATCTCTTCTCTATGCAATTACCATTGGCGCACTGGAACTGGGTGTCGGTGCAATTTTGTTTGCCGCATTCTGTTATGATAAATAACGTTTAATTAATTCATTGTCTCATGTTTTTATATCATATTTTGATTTTTGATTAGAGAAGTTGCATTTTTTTAAGCTTACTGAAAATTGTATAGAAAATTAAAAAAATATACAATTGATTTTTCATGTAATTTTTTAATTAACATTTTCGAAATTTACTTTTCTGACGTTTCAAAAAAAAACGAAAAATAATTTTGATCTAAATGTCTGTAAACCTAAGAAAGTAAAACTAGACCAACCTTTCTCATCGCTCATGTCCGCGCAGTCGGCGTCGCCGTCGCAGCGCCAGCTGGGCAAGTAGCAGCCGGCCTCGTCGCACGCCAGCATGGGCGGCGCACACACGCAGCCCACCTCGTCCGACATGTCGCCGCAGTCGTCGTTGCGGTTGCATCTCCACGACTTCGTTATACACATGCCGTTTTTGCATGCGAACTCGTCCTAGTAAACGAAATTAATCACTACATAGTATAAAACAAAGTCGCTTCCCGCTGTCTGTCTGTCCCTATGTATGCTTAGGTCTTTAAAACTACTATGGATTTTGAGGCGGTTTTTTAATAGATAGAGTGATTTAAGAGGTAGGCTTATATGTATAATATATGCATATTATAGTACAGAATAACCGAGAAATTCAAAGATATCTATTTCATACTACCCGTTAAAACATACCTAGGAACGAACCCGAGCGAAGCGACGGTGAGTCGCTAGTGTTTACTATATGCCGCCTTAATGCTTATTTGTTCAAGTTAGTTTTATGTAATAAGCGAGAAAGGCAACCACTAAAGTGAAAAGCAGTATATTGTCAAACGGGCCACCACTTCAAAATGACCACGACCAGTCAGTCAAAACGGAAATTACTTAAGAAGCAGAATATTATTATTACAAGCATTTGCAGCTCAGTCCCTTCCCTTTCCGGAGTCCCTATCGGGGTTGATTTTCTGGAAATTATTTCTCTTTTTTCTTTATACCCTATGCGAAATCTACGAGTAATTGCCAATATAGCAATAATAATAATCTTCAAGTTTTTTGCCTTTATGATACCTGAGATTTCATATTAATTCAGTGAGTGATATTTTGTTTATTATAGCAACATTATAAATGCGACAACTTTTAATTAAAACGCGAAAATATTAGTATATTTCTAGAAAAACAATAAATAGAATGGTTAAAATCAACAATATAATTTAAGTTGTATCCAGTTACAGAAAACAGTAATTTTGGTTAATCAGGATTTTTAAATCCGTAATTTTAAATTTGTCATTTAAATTACTCATATTCATTTACAGTATTAAATAAGTCAGGAAAGCTTAGGTAAAATTAAATAAATCTATTATTTTCACGATAAGCTAGATAAGTTTATGTAAATAAAAAATCTTTTTAAATATTAAAATTAAAGAGAAACTAATTTACATTCAAAATTAGTACATACCGGTGAACAAGTTCCAGCTTGCTTCGGACAAGTCATATTGGGAGCCGGCTCCATACCATTAGGACACAAGCACTTTCCATTGACCTTGTTAAATCCATCCGGGCATAGACAACTGAAGGTATTTCCAGGACCACCCAAACAAAGAGTATCACAACTGGTGTTTTTGTATGAACATGCATTGCTTCCATGTTGCATGAAATATGCGAACACTTTCAAATCCATCAGGCCGGACAGAGTATCATTTATCGTTATAATATTAGCACCTGTATCTTTATCCGCCATGAATATCGATTTAGTTTTCCAATCATCCCAGTACATTTGGTTCTTTAAGACTGCAACTGCAAATGGATGACCCACTCTCTCGTCATTCCACAAAATCCTTCTGAAATATTGACCATTCAGATCTGCACTCGCGATGTAATCTTCCATGGCGTCCACCCAGTAAATTCTATCAGCCATTTGATCTATGGTTATTCCGTTGGGCCACTGCACTATCGGTTTCGTGAACAACTTCTTCACATCAGTACCATCTAGCTTCGACCGGGACACAGACGGGCTGCTACGATCCCAATCTGTCCAAAACAGATAACCTGCTTTCGGATGAACTGCAATACCGCGCGGTTTGGAAAGAACCTTTGAATTTAATATAGTCGCTCTCAATCTACCCTTGTTAGTCAGATCTGTTCGGACGGCTTCAATTTTTTTTCTCATTCCATCCACGAAGAAGAGAACATTTGAAATCCAATCTAGAGCCATTCCTTCTATGCTGGACAAGTCAGTGTCAACGACTACTTCCTGGGCTTGACCTCTTCCAAAGCATTGTCGACTAATTTTGTCCAGTTCAATATCGGCCCAGTATATGCAGTTATTCTTCATGTCGAATTCAATAGCGACGATATTTCTTTGGCCTTGAACCGGAATGATAGTGGTATTGTCGGATAGATCGATGTGTGCAATTTTGTCTCTCAAGGCGACCAACATGAACTCTTGCGGCTCCTCGATAGGGCAGGGCACGACTTGGGGTTCATAGGGCATATAGGAAGATATAGTGCAAACATCCCCATCAATTTTTCTGTAGCCCTTCGTCCTATTATAGAACTTGCCCGGACGACATTCGGGAGAAACGGCAAAAGGATCATAATTGAGGTTCTGGTTGCGAACACAGATGTTATTTGAGAGTACAAATCCGAAATCACACTCATAGTCACGCCTGCTACATTCGCATCTTTCTTTTTTAACGGGCCTATCGTATCCTATTCCATTGTGACAATTCGTATGAGCGAGTCGTCGTTGGAAAGTATCTCGCATTCCGAGAACGCAAGACACTGACGTATTCGGGGGAGTTGGGGACCAATACTTGTAGTCGTCATCCGTACATTTCCGTTCAAAAGTGTGCAATAAGTCCATGGTGATAATTATCCACTGGTGTTGCTCATTAGCTGAGCCGAACATTGTAAATGTCGTTGTGTTCTCCCCTGGTTCCGTCATAAGTCCGTATATGCGAAGATCATCATCGTTAAATCTGAAAAATAAGTATTGTTATGCCTTATCTACTGATTTTTACTTTATATACAATAATAAGTTAAAACACTGATAATAATATATAATTATCAACCAAAGGTATGAGTAGATTATATAAAATAACACTTGAGCCTTGTACGTGATGTACGTGACATTGATCACCTCGTGCGTGTTATCAAATAACAGGAGCTATTCTTGTATATTCTGATGAAAACAATGTTTAGTTCATAATTACGGTATACTTACTGATAGGATATTCTGTCCATGCTTTCGTTTGTTGAATACAATATTTTCTTTATTTTACCTCTCACAGCAAGTTGCTGTGCCAGCGGTTGCGGGTTCGAGTGCCGTTGGGGGCAATCATTTGTGTGATGAGCACGAATGTTCGCACTCTTCATGGGTGTTTATATTTATAATATGTATGCATGCCTCGCAGCTTACCATGAAACTAGATGGTGCTGTGTTAATGTCGCAGCATATATATTTATTTTTAATTATTTTATTTACTTACTGATAGGATTTCCAGTCCATGCCTTCATTCGTTGAATACAATATTTTCTTTGTTTCACCTCTCGTTTTAAAATATTTGACTGCCACTAAAACACCGCCATGGTCACCGTAGTTGAAGAAATAGTAATCTTTTAATATTCTCTTCCAACTGAGTCCCGCATCCCTACTGATATAAACTCCGGGAATCCCCTTGAGACTCTTTCCTAATACTCCAGTCGCCATAATAATACCTGGTGCTGACTTAGAACTCATTATGCTTGCAGATCTGTAATAAGATATGAACCATTTTTTTTATATAGACGTTATTTTAAATATAGCTGATTGCACAAATATGACGAACACGCGTGCGGAATATTATAGCTTAGTGTTTCCATAAACATTCCATTATTGAGTGAAATGGAATATTATTGTGGATTTTATACACCATTTAAAAAAAAATGTCCACTTTTAATTATGTATGACTTGCGCGTGCATTCCCGTTTAAAATGTACTACATATATTTAACTAATATATATGACTTATGTATACTAACCAAATGAATTATTGAAATGAAATCGGCACTCGAAATCTAGTTAAACAACAATTGATTAATAAAAGTTAATATTCACGATACAATAAACCCACAAAAATGTTGCACATGTAACAAAATGTATAAAAAAGCCACCCGTGCTTTGCAAACCAGAAATATATGTACCACATTCTCTATAGCTTATTGTTTACCTCGTCTCACTGTTTTTGACATATCCCGGTTGGCTGTAAAAAATTATTTTCATCATTTTTTCATTGCAGTTTATCTTTCTTTTTTTTAATAATTTTTACTGTTTAAAATTAATTTTGATGTATAGTTTAATCACCTACATTTATTTTTAACTCGTATTGTATAACATAGAACTTAGCCATTGACGGTGGCCCTTAAAAATGCGTCTGCAGAAGCACTTGGTGTGATTGACGGTGGCCCTTAACTCCATTAGTGAGAATATTACATAAACATATTTACCTAATTTAGACGATATTTATAACCATAGTTTCCAAAAACAATATTTAAGAAGCTAAAGCTGTGCATGTACATTATTTAGACCTCTATTTTCGTTCTTTGTTCTTACCTACTGCACTTATACCCAAACGACACATCGCATGTCCCTCAGAACATCTACGCTTCTTCTTAGATATTAATTTACATAGAATATTGTATCATCTTTTAATTATTATAATCATACATTTGTATTGAAAACATATAATAGACTTGAATAAGCTACGATTTGGTATAAAAATTATACTGTTTTTCGAGAATTTTGTAGTTAAAAGGTTATTTTTAACTTTTGAAATGCGTAGGAGATAATGAATAACTTACCTAATGAGCTATTTCTAATATTATTAGAATTTGTATAGAAACTTTCAACCAATATCTCTCTGTAATATTTTGAATCTTTATTCATTAGTTCTTATGTAAATAGAGTAAATAAATAAAAATGCTTTAAGGAATTTTTATCAAGGTTATCTCCAATTTATGTAATAAATAACGCGATATTCAAACAAAGCAAGCGAAAAAACAAAACTTCGCCATATAAACAAAAGGAAAATATAAAACCGTTCGTGATAATTTATATGGGTTAGTAATTAATTAGATAAGATGAAGGTTACCTAATATGGAAAAAACAAAATGGAGTTAATTTTTAAAATTTAAAACATATGCGAATTTTGCATGTGTTTATATTTTTTGTATTTCACATACCTTTAACTTTGCTTAGTATCCAATAGCCACATTTCAAATTACATACATTCTCTATTGTGTTTTTGTTCTAAACTCGCAAAACTTTGCCAATAAATAATACTGTTATGAATATGGAAATTACCAAGAAATTTGCAAGTACCAAGTATGTTGAACGCGATACTTTTTCCTATCACCATAATATGTACCGTGTATTTTTACATTGGTCAAGAGAAACTACCAATACTTCTTTTACGAAACTATGCATTTCAATATTTTTTTTAATTAAAAACGTGTTTACATAAATCTACGAACACACAAAAAAGCATCTAAATTATGAGAGGTGTATATAACATAAATACGCTATTTTAGCCCGCGTTTTAAGACTATTTCTTACTTTCGTAGGTAGGTTGGTGGAGATGTCTTCTAGAGAAAAGTCCATTTTTGTCCACAGTCTCAGTTTTGTTAATATGACTTTTTGTTAACTGTGCTGTTGTAACTGTTTCTTAATTAAGAACATATTATATATGTCGTAGGATGATTTAATAATTCGAATTTTCGCGAAAACCATAGGGATATTGCGAAAGCCTACAATGTGCACTTTCGAGTTTAGCTCGGCATCGCGTGCTCACGAAAGTTATAATTATGATTTCAGGCAATTTTAATTAAAACTTGATAGGATTAAAAAAACAACTTTCAGTAAAATAGGTGTGTGGGTTGGTGTGTGTTATATTACTGTAGCCGATGAACCCTATTGTAATTAATAGAAAACGTTATCTTTCTCTAACATATATCATATTATCCAACATATTAGATTAGTCATTATTTATCGTTTAGCAAGTATCATTTTTAATTTTGAAGTATGTTGATTACAATTTTATTACCAATTAAAAAATATTTATAAAAATATTATATTATCTTAACTAAATTTAGAATGTAATAAAAATAGACATACCTATTACTAGATTTGGTATAACAGGGTGAAATTATATTATATTTTCAAAATATTGGTTCGAGTAATAAGTTATATGGAAAAACTTCCAATGACGGTAAGTATATGTCTACCTTATCTATGTATAAAAATCTCGTGTCACGGTGTTTGTGGTCGCACTCGTCCGAAACGGCTCGACCGATTTTAATGATTTTTTTTGTATATTTGGTAGGTACGAGAATAGGACTTAAAGTATTTTCACCCTCCTACCCCCCATAGTATTTTTGTATGAACAATATTATACAAATACATAGCGGCGAACCCGAGCGAAGCGAGGGTGAGTCGCTGTATAACATAAAGCTAAAGTCTTATTTGTAGATTAAACGCGGGTCTAGCCGGGGTTTTGCTAGTCTAAATATATTTTTTAAATCTTTCTGTTATCTAAATGTTAAATGGAAAGATCAAGTAACCGTATATTTAGTTTTTATCGCGTTTACTAGCGCTACTAGTTTTATTTTATTTTTTAATTTGGATATGCTGTTTTTTTTTAAATCAGACACGGTGTTTACGTTCATTTTAAAGAGAATAATGATGAATCAAGGACACAATAGGTATGGCATATATTAATACTTAATAAACAATAACATGGTGTCTAAATCTTACAATGTCTACGTGAATTTTGCGATATTGTTTTGTTTCACTTTAAAAGACGGCAAGCAACAAGAGGTGATATCGGTGACGTAAATAGGTCGGTGATCGATAATACTATACACTTATTATAAATACAAAAGGTATTTATCTTATATAATTTATGTCACGACAAGGAATTTGATCGAATATCACAAAATCATCGTCGCTATAAATGCGTTCTGTCCACTTTATATTTATATTAATACCTAATTGAAAATCCTCCTAACCGATTTCGATTAGGGGCCCGTCTCACTTAAGACTAGCCAACTGCAGGGGATATATTGTAGACTACAAAGCAATGCGTGTCCACTCTCTATTTCTTAAAATGTAATGTTCTGGTTCGAAAAACAGACAAAAGACTCAAACACTAACTCTCGGACTGCGACACGTGACATACATATATAGTGTACCCTGGACAGGGACCGAAGTATACACAAATACCACATATATCTAAACTGTGACTTCCTTTTTTTGATGTCGGTCAAAAACAGTGTTATTAACAATGTACGTGTGAAAAAAACCAGACAAAAATAGAACACTTAAATTACTACTCTTTGAAATTACAAACTTAAAATAATTTTGCAGTTCAAGTGGCAAAATTAACTTTGTAAATAAGTTTATTACATTTGATTATACAATTACCTTGTAACTGGATATAGCTGACTGAATTTCTGACACAAATGCAAGCTGCACGAGTTCTCTATGTGGCAGTTGAGCGGCTTTCCTATTGACAATTTAATTATTCAATTAAAATAAATAGCTATTAGGCACTGGCAAAAGCCAAACTATTATATAATATATTAACAAGATCACAGGTTCGATTACAGGGCGGTATAAATAAATATTAGTTTGTATGGCATCAGTCTGGTAGCTGGCGAAACGAAAGTATGAAAATATTAGATTTTGCCTAGGATTCCCACGCCGCCCACATAATAAGTACGTAGATAAAAACCAGTCAATGTTAAGACCATTCTCAGATAAAAAGGCATCTCTACTCTCAGGTGAAGATGTTCCCCCGACCGATTTTGACCACGGCGGCTAATCTCACTGAGACTAGTCAGATGCGCAGGATATATTATAGTACAGCGCGTGTGTCTGTGTACGCGCAGACACGACATGCACTATCTATTCCTTTTATTTTCAAAGCCCAATGGGATGATAATTCGTGTCGAATGAGACCGGTGAGAGATCAGGCGTAGGACCGACGGCTTTAGATACTCTATTCTTTACTCAACAGAAAGAATCAATAACTAAACTTGGCCCGACCCGGGACTTGAACCCGACCTCCGGATGTGCAATAATACATACTAGCCATAACATTCAAGTTCAATTACAATCAAGTCCGTTAAGCTTCCCCAATCCACAGTGTAAGAAACTAACAAGTACAGAAACATGCATTTATATTAATATACATAATATGTATGTGGGTATGATGGTGCACATTTTTCAATTCCACTTATTTTTGGTTGCGGTTGCCAATGTTGTCGTAACTTGAGGATATTTGTCGTTTGGCTTTAGTTAAAACAAAAAGGCTACTTTTGTATCGCGCGTATAATTTTACGTTAAGAGTAGGATCAATATTTTTCATTCTTTCAATTCAATATTTTTCATTCTTTCATTCACAAATCAGATAAAATAATACATTTCTCTTACCGTTTTCATCTTCAGTGGGTGGTTTAATGGGGGACCACGTGACACCATGGTCGAAAGAAATTAGTGATATCAAGTGGTCCGGTTCTATGTTTGAACCCTGCGTTTTCTGGTTCACTTTCGATACTATGTAAATGCCCTTTAAGCCTTCAACGCGGTATAGATCAGTAAATGGGTCTTCTGTAACATCCCTGGAAAAAAATTATAACATTATATTCTCTTTCGTTCTTCTAAAGACAAAAAAGGGCAGGTTTCGACTACTACCATATAATCATTACGATAAGCCTGATGATGAATTTGTGTATCTAATCAGATCGGTATGCGCTGGGCCCATAACCACATTATTTTAAAATAATATTTGCTACCTCAATTACACGAATAAGTTTCACGACATAATACAAAATTTACAACTAACTAAAAAAGTATTCTATAATATTTCTTTACTAGCTGCTCACACTCGCTTCGCTGGGGTTCGCGGCTGCAGTTTAGGAAAATAAAAACAAATCTATCCCACGGGAATAGTACATTTTTTCGGGATAAAAAGTAGCCTATGTGTTATTCCAGACTATAATCTATCTCTGTGCCAAATTTTATCTAGATCCGTTTCACGCAGGTTCGATTCTGACAAGAACTATATGTAATAATATTATGTAATCATGTTTATCTTAAACTGGCTAAAGCTATTGTACAATATCGTAACTAATAGTGCCTGCCTTACAGTAGCCAATAATTAGACAATGGTTGAGCCTCTTATCTTTTCTATGCAAGAGATATGACGTTATTTATATTTAAAACACAATAATAATCTAGAAAGCATTGCTTGCAGATATTTACTAAATTATGCAGTTTTAATACAATGTGACAATTAAATGTTGGCGTCTTGTATATCAAAAACAGAAACTAAATTCAACATATCAATGTCTCTTTCATAGAAGTCTGGACTGCCATCTATTTTGTTTGTGTTATTGATAATCTTGAGGTTTGGGTATTTAAGGTCTTCAACGAACTTAATGGAAAAAATCATCCGGACCAAAATATATTTGAAAGCTATAAACTACATACCTACAACATTTTTATTGAAGCTGAAAAGGAAACTCTAACAAGTATTTTATCGAGCTGTTCAATAATAAATAAATCAATTAATTTAATAATAAATATCGTATCACTGTATAGGAATAAATAAATTTTCGGTTTTAGAAATTATTTTGAATTTTTGTTTCAAAATATGGAACTAAATTATTTGTCATAATTTTAACACGTAAATTTATTGATAGATATGTATTATGTACTTACTTACCTATAATGTCATTTATATAAAAAAAAAAAAATATACAATTAATTTTATATACTAATTAAAATAATACTAAATAAATTATATTAATAAATTTTATTATATTATAACCATAACTATTCAGTGTAAACACTAATCGTAAGATTATAATCGGAAAATAGTAGCAGTGTCCCACTCAGGAAAGACTTTAGAGACTTCTTTTAAGTTCCTCATCGACATATAACACATGCATATTGCATAAGTTTTATTTCAACTAACATTATTCTAATAGGTTGGAATAGATGAGAATTCAAATGATACACTAGCTGTATAATTGGTTCTGCTTGAGTTCTATTACAGCTAGAGGCATAAATACGTGTTGCTTATATTATAAGCTAAGTATGTACAGTCAAATATTAGTCTTAGATAGTCTCTAGGTACTTACTCGAGCCAGCTGTCCTTCCAATTTCCATCGGGGAAGTAACACAGGATCTGATCCAAACTTAGCACAAAGTTGTACTGCGAGAAATTCTTGCTAATTTCCGAAACGTAGAGATTAGCCAAACTATCTGTGTGCATTACAGAGACAAATATACGTTTCTCAGTAACATCTGCGATGTGAAACTTGTTTAGGTCCAGCTCAGTTTGAAATTCAGCTTTATAGAATGGTCCACGTTGGTGAGATATGTAGAGATCTAAGGAGTTTTTCTGAAACAGTTGTATGATAGTTTAGTACAGTTATAACTAGTAACGGCTGTATATTTAACCTATATATAGTTTCAAAATATAGTTTTATTATAAATAAATATGTTGGGGCATTAACACACAGCACCGTCTAGTTCCATGGTAAGCTACGAGGCTTGTGTTATGGATACCAGATAGTTGATACACTACACATATATAACTTTAAATACATACATATTATAAATATAAGCATCCATGACTAGAGTACAAACATTCGTGCTCATCACACAAATGAATGCCCCCGGCGGGACTCGAACCCGCGACCGCTGGCACAGCAAGAAGGGTCACTACAAACTGAACCAAACTTTTCGTCATGAATAAATATACAACCTCTAAAATATATAAAAGATTATAAGAATAATTTCCTCCTGACCAACTCTCATACTCCAGTGGGACGACAATTCGATACGACCGATAAGAGACCAGACACAGGCTTTACGTGCTCTTAGAGGCACGAGGTGAAACCCCGTAAACTTTGTCACTCCGAGCAGTTACTGGGAATTTCTTGCCCGACCTAGGACTTGAACCTAGCACCTTGTACCTGCATGCATGGTACATGCGAGCTACTAGACCACCGAGACTGTCGAATGATTCTAGTGAATATAAATAAATAAGCTATAGATATTCAAATATTAAAAAGAATTATAATACAAAAAATGATAATGTTGTTATCTTTAAAATGAAGCGAATACAGTTTAAAATTTCATAACACTGTATGATAAGGTCACATGAATTGCTAGTAAGCATCCAATCAATCCATCGACCCGGCGAATGATTCACAATTCACATGACCTGCATCCTTTACGATAACTTTGCCAGACAATTCAGAATACATAATTGACACGCCTTCCCGTTTCGCATCCGTGAACTTGATTAATTAATACGAGCTTTCTTTTTATTTTCAATATTATATTATGTAAGTATACACAAAAATATTATAATAAAAATTTATGCACAGTGATTAGATTTTATACTCCACGTAACATCTTTCGACACGACCACCAATAACAAATTATAGAAGAGGAAAAGAAGTTTTTATATTTTTTTGTTATTAGAAAGTGTATCTATCCATGTAGCATCAAGAGCTTTCTATCATCAAGCCTTTAAATTGTCTTTAAATTCTTAAGTACTTGAGACGATAACGAGATCAATATTTTTTTTACATTATTAACGTAGTACTTTTTATATAAAACTATCTTGACGGGAGAGACAGTCTCTCCCGTGACTATGATTACTGTAAAGCATTCAAAAAGTCGGGAACCAAAAATCCAAATAAATCCGCGAAAAAATCCGAAAAGATAGTTTTATTTAAAATGTCTAATATTCGCGTAAATCCATTCTGGACCACAATGTTGAATTTGCAAAATGTTGGAAATGCTAAGAAAGTATAAGGTAGTACTTTCTTTAAAAAGAAACAATTTACGAACTAACTACTTACTCATTGAAAGTGTTGTGTTAGCAGAGTAGGTAATATCTAAAGTATAATTTAATCAGATAATCAATTTCGTTGAAACAATATAATCCTGCCTAAATTGAAATTTACTCTTAAGGGTTACATGTATATGGTACATGTGGTTACGTCAGATAGGTACCTACTAAATATTTAAAAGTTGATGTGTATCTGTGCAATATGTATTTCGAAAGACGTATTTATCAAAAAAAAATGGGTGCGTGTGTAATGTTCGGTGGTCAGGAGGGGTCTTGAGATACAAACAGAAGCGTGACGTTGATAGATATTTATTTATCACACGACAGTTAACGATAACTTTAAATTGTAACTTTCTTATTTGCTATACTGTAGCTGACTCGGAGGTCCGAAGGAACTCAAGGAACTCAAAGAACTGACTAACATTATGGGTGGAGGACATTATAAACCAATACAAATGTAAACACATTTGGGAAAAGTAAACAAACAGTCTCTGGACTCTATACTCATTAACAATTACTGGAAATTTGATAATTCTAAATTTTGTTTATATAACATTAAAGAACAATAAGTCTTTTAAGATCAATGAAATCTTTGTTATAATATTAAAGAACAATTGATTAAAAATATGTAAACATTACACGTGTAATCTTTACGCGCGGTTGAAGTAAAACTTCTTTGACAAATATCGCAATTAAATTAAAACAAATCAATAATTAAATAAGGCATATTAGGTATATTAAAATCGTATATTTATAAAATATCATATATCAAAAGAATATAATATTATATATTTGTCAGGCAATTACAACGGTTACCGTGGTAACGATTAGTCATAATAGATTTTATTTATATTTATACACATTCATCCCACAGTAATAAATATACATTTAAAAGTAATAAGTTAGTTTTTTTAACCAAGTTTAAAAGTTATTTTTAGGGATGGGCCGAAATTCGTTTTACATTCGGTTTAACCGAATTTCGGCAGCTTGAGCCGAACTTCAGCATTCGGCCGAAATTCGGTTTAAATGCCGAACATTCGGCAACAGAAAAAAAAACCTACTTGCATTATTTTTACAGAAATAAATAGAAAGCATGTCTGTCATAACAATAAAATAATATTAAGTCTTTTATATACTCATTAGTCCGATCGAAATCCAGTTTGGAAACAAAAAAATCAAAACTGAGGTTGTATATCGTCAAAACGTTAGCATATAAAGAAAAAATCTCTAAAATGCCTCCGATGTCCGGCTTCCCACGAGAAAAGCGTTGAAAAATAGTTTTTTTTAATCAATTCAATTCAAATTCGATCTTCGAAATACTTATAATAATAATTAAAAAAAATTAAAATATTTAGACGTTTTCGAGAAAATGTTTTATGGTCTCGGGAGGCTGAAAATTACTCCCAACTTCAAGTGGATGTTCATATTTAAAAAAAAATATAGAAAAATATAGATAGGACGTCACAGTAAGCCGGAAATTGAAAAAACCTATTTTTCAACGTTTTTCATCCCCCCATTTCTCGGGGGAAGCTGGACATCGGGGGCATTTTACGGATTTTTGTTCCATATATACCTGCTAACGTTTTAAATACGTTAAACTTCAGGTTTTTATAAAAAAAAAATCTATTAAAAATAAATCTCATACATCTTCGCCTAATTAAATAGACAAAATGAAATAAACTAAGTATTCTTCTATCAAACATTTTAATTAAAATTCATAAATTGAATTAAAAAAATCACGTTTTTGTTCACTAAAGAAACATTAAGTATTTTTAATTATTAAAGGGTCACGACATATCTCTCGAGAAAGCGCGGTAAAATTGAACCGAAGTTCGGCCGAATTTTTTATTCTCACCAAATGTTCGGCCGAAGTTCGTATTCGGTTCAACTCGCATTCGCCCATCACTAGTTATTTTACATTTTATTTAACATATATTAATTACATTACATATTATTCAGTATTATTTTTCTTTTCCTGTGTAATGTATTCTATCTCATTCTTTTACCGGCTTAATCCTATATATTTATGTGTTTGTCTCTTTCTAGAGTCATTTTCGTTTTATCGAATTTCAAATCACAACGATTCTAAAGAAGTTTCACTTCAAAAAACTTTGATTGTTTTATTAATCATGGAGATTTTTTAGATAGGGGTAGTTTATGATCCGGAGGGAGTCGAAGGTAAATCTTTATTGGTTAGTTAGACTTGAACGTAGACGTAATTAATTAATAACCCTACGTTAAAATTGAAATAACAATATTGAACATTCCAAATATTATATTGTAAAAAAAAATTGTGATAAAATTAGGCCGATATTCAAAAATTTTGAAATGTCTTGAATGATGTTATAATGACTAATGAGGTAAGTCAATAAAATAAATCAATGACTTAATACCCCATGATTAGTATACTTTGTATATGAATATGTAAATAACTTCTTTTAAAGATGTTTCATAATGTAACTCTTTCTATATAGCGTAGATACAATATATGTATATCTCATCGTTTTTAGGGTTCCGTACCTGAAGGATGCCAACGGAACCCTATTACTAAGCCTCCGCTGTCCGTCTGTCTGTTAGAGAGGTGTATCTAATGAACCATATAAGATAGATAGTTGAAATTTTCACATAGTATGTATTACAAATAATAAAAATAAATAAAAATGAAAGAAACATTTTTTTAACGTTCGTAATCGATCATCGAAGCTAATATACTACATACATAGAGTAAAAGTAATGTATGATAGTACGGATTCCTTCGTGTGCGACTTCGACACACACATGACCGATTTTTACATCTCATTAGCTTGTCAGTTTAAATATCATTGCAATCCTCTATATGAATGGAGGAAAACTAGTTCTAAAACTCGTTAAATTAAGTGAATTATATTAAAACAAGACTAATACTTAAAATAATAAAAAATATTCTTCTTGTTGCAATATTTTTATCTACATAATTTATTTTTCATTACATTTTTATACTTAGGTACCTACCTACTGCAGAAATTATAAACACTTGACATAAGGCGTTTTATTTTATGAGTCATTAGAAACTATGTAGCTATGATTATTATGATTCAGATTTTTTAAATTAAATATAATTTACTTTGTTTCAATTCAATACTGTTTATAAATTAAAAGTTCTGTTAACATTTAGTCGTATATTTTATTATATATATGATTAAGAATTAGATAAAAAAAAAACGTGTTTGTATACTTATGTACGCACGTAAGAAGTTATAGGTAGATAACTTAAGACTTCTTTGGCGTAACAGAACAAAAATACCTAAAGGTTTCATCCCGTACGTTAGAACTCTCTGTAAATGGAATGAAACTAACTTCATCATGTAACTTTTTGGCTGTCGGTGTGCGCGCGCATCGTAGAAATTTTACTCACATATTTTTTCCTAAACGTGCTAAAAAATGTATAACTTCAAAAATATGTTCAATATATTGTTTATATACCTACGTCATAATGACAACATAACGAAACAAAAGTATATTTCCAATTATTATTGTCTTATCAAAATCAGTACCTA